TGTGTAATTCACTGCATTTTGTGGAACTGTGCGTATGCAGCGTTTGATGCGTGCATAGCGCATTATTTCGATACTAAGCGCTTTAAAGTCCCAAACATAGATAAGAAATAGATATAAAATATTAACAACAACGTGACCAAGCTTTTGGTAACGCTCACAAACTTTCCGCAAATTAATGGGCAACATGTTATTCAATCTAAAGGTTTAACTAAAGCATCTTCTATTTTATCAGTGTTATCAAAATAGCATTACAAATAAATAATTTATAAAAAAACCTTTAACACTTGACAGCAGATCACTGTAGCACATGTAATCTCAAAACACATTTTTTTAGAATTTAGAATCTTTAATTTCAATGTTTCTACAACTATGGAAAAAGATCTTGCATGAAAAAAAAATTTAACGTCAATGTTAGTAATTTACGATTTTCAACAGCAACACACTAAACGTTGAGTTATACTAAAATCTCCGTTATATTACGTACCTAATAGAGCTCTATAGTAGGTATTATAATAATAAATGCTATTATTATGGGAACCAATTATTGATATAACGTTATTTATAAATATTATAACTTGGCTGTCCGTTATAAAACTCAAATTGTCATTCCGATGTGCAGAACTTAAAATAGAAAACTCCCCAAGAAAATATGTCTAGCGGAGCTTTGCGAAAATGTAAGCTGGTTGATTTTTTCCAACAGACTTTTCCATTCATCATATTGAAGCAATATAGCAATCCATCAATAAAACTAAAGCTGTAATTTCCGGAGCACCAAATTGCAGGTCTGTGAACACGCTCCACTCAGTATAAGTTTCGAAGCGTTTAGGGAGCAGAATATTGGGACTGCAACAAACTCTTTAATATTTTAAACTTGTCATTGAAATCGGATTAATCTATAACATAATAAACGGAAGTACAACACGTGCATGCAAAAACTATTCGCTAACGTTTTTTTACCGGAAGAATAAATTTTTTAGAACCGAGTAACGTCGAAAAAATATATTTTTCCTTGATAGTAAGGTCGATTTTCTTAGCAGAAGGCGGTCTCTCTGAAATAAGTTTCTTTTAAGAATATACTCACCACGAGTCCGAACAACTCCATTAATTCGAGAGTACCTTATTTAAAAAATGGAGGAAAAGCAACCCACATTAAACAAGAGTAAAAAGGGATCCTTACAACAGCTAAAATTCTCCGGCCGCACAAACTCAACGGAATAAAACTCCACGGAAACTTGACGCCTTTGCGTGGTTGATAAAGCCCTGAAGCATTAGCTGATTGCCCGTACCTACTCTCCGGTGGTATGTGCTTGAACTGAGGTGTTATTCTCCGTATAGCTAAAAGCCTTGCTAAAGGCCCTATATACTCAGTGAAATAGTAAATATGATCTTTATGAGTGTATATACATATATTATCATTTTCGAAAAATAATCAAAATAGAGATGCACTTTACGCCCTAATGTGGGTCACCCTGAACCACTTGGGCCGACAAAGCTGCTTATCAGTGCTACTCCAGTTCACTGCTTGTTCGGTTGGCTTGAAATTTTATCACTATTTGGACAAAACGATCCTTTCAGTTTGTCAGTGTAATATTAGAAAGCTGGGCACGCTTTTTAGATGCGGATAAGAACCCCGATGGTTAACGAACAAAACTAACGCTGAGTTCTCAGCCAGTTGAAAAGCGACACCCCTATATAACGCGAATTATATAAATTTTTCAATACTGATCTAATACATTTCGTATAAATGTTGAAACGCTGAATTGATCTGTGGCCGTACTATCAAAACTTGCTCAAGAACATGAAGCGGACATTTCCGACCTGTGATTGATTGGTTTAACTTGAACAGCCTACAGTGAATGGCTGGCGGAGTTGCATACGCGTAACTTTTTAGCGCATTTTCTCATTAATGGAAAAAATGCACTATTGTGCTCGCCATGTCCGTCTGTCTGTCTGTCCGTCCGTCCGTGACCTCAAGTTTTCGTCGACGACAAAATGCGCTCTCTGTCACTCACTGCAGTGAGTACTTAGTTATATATTTTTAATAGTACGGACCCTTGCATGTGGCCTACAGGCTACATACGACTTCTCCCTAGACTGGCTGCTGCCTTCTTATAGCGTCCCGAGCGCGTCAGGCGCAGGGTCTGGAATACAGTAATACGACCGTCGATCGTGATGCGTTCATCGGCCGCACTGCTGGTGTAGAATCCAGATGACCTCTCGTCCGTCTTGACGCCTACCTAATATTGGTGAGAGGGACCTAATATTATTGATGACAAATATTGACGTCTAAATAATATTTATGAGGGAGATATTTACGCTAACCTAATATTGGTTAGAGTGTCCTGATATTATTGACCTAATAATCTGAATGAGAACCTAACATTGTTGACCGGAGTCAGATGGAGTAGGAGTATGCTGATTATGAAACATTTCCTGTATCCCTAAGTTATATTCGGAAATTATAGTATTCTGGAAATCTTAAGGAAACAAGACACATGTTGATTTTAAGAACAGATTAAATGTTCTGATGGAGATTAATTAATCGTTTTTTTTTCAAGCGATATTAGGTGGAAAACAAAGAGTTTAGAATATCAAATCATGAAATATGATATTAGATACATGATTCGCACTTATTGTCTTTTCGGGGACATCTGGCAGGCCTCAATTTGAGACGATAGTCCTACAATTTTAAAAACAGCATATTCTCGCATTAAGCTTCCAACATAACATGTATAAGCCACCCTGAACCGCACAGTGCACAACCTTCCCACACACCTCAGAATCAAGAACAATCCCTAAATTACGACGTTTGACCTACCAAACACTTCGACGGCGTATGACGCGAGTCTTTGCACTGCCCAACAAGGATTTAGACTGCTAGAGACTGAACACATTTCGCGTAGCCCATGATGAAAAGTACAGTGCGGAGATCGATAGTAGTATAGTCTAGTACATAATACTACAGTACAGTACAAGATATTACGGAACAGAATACTAAACAGTACGCAGTACAGGGCTCGAAGCTGAATTAGATTGCTAGTTACTAAAAACGTCATACGCAGTCCAATGCTAAGTATGCAGTACTTGGCCGATGAGCAATTGAGTTGCAACTGACTGAACACATAAAACAGTCGAGGGGTTTCTACGCAGTTAGTGGGTCGGTGCGGATTTAGGTTACTAGTGACCGAGTACATGACACACGGCCAAGGAGCAACTACAGTATGCAGCACGGAAGTCGGTGCGGATTTTGGTTGGTAGTGACTAAACCCATAATACGCAGTCTAGGGGTAAGTACGCGGTACGAGGGTCGGTGTGGATTTAGGTTACTAGTGACTGAACACATGATACGCAGCCCATGGCTAACTACGCAGTAGAGTGCTCGTGCCGATTTATGTTGCTCCTAACCGGACACATGCCATGCAGTACTGTCTAGGACTAGGAGTGACTACTCAATTGTTCTGCATGCCGTATGTTCAGTCAGCAGCAACCTAGATCAGTACCGGACTACATGGTGCCGCGGTGCGTCTGCATGCCGTATGTTCTGTAAGGAACAACCTTAATCGGCCCAGTGGATAAAGTTCAGAGTACCAAGATTGACGCAGAGAGGCGCGGGTTCGAACCCAGCTATGTGCGCCAGTTTCTGGTCAGAATCGGCAAGGAAGCCGGGCGGTTAAGCATAGCAGAATTGTAGCAGTGAGTTGCGAGTTCGAGACCGCAAAATGCTGTGAATGTTCTGCAATGTTAAGAATCGGCGACAGGCCCACGGCCTAATAACGCTGAAACCGCTATTATAATCAGCAGGGAGTTCTGTACTGCGTAGTGACCCCTGGGCTGCATGCTAAGTGTGTAGTCAGTAGAATCCTTGATCAACACCGATTCTTGTAATTGCGTAGTTACCTCTGGACTGCATGCTTTGTGTTCAGTCAGCAGCAACCTGAATCAAGACCTAGCCTCATAATGCTTAGTTATCTCCTGACTGCAATTCATGTGCTTAGGCAGTAGCTACTTTCATCAGTACCGATCCCCACACGGCATAGTTACTCTTGGAATCCTCCTCAGACTCATGCCATGTGTTCAGTCACAAACAACCTAAATCAACACCGAGCACCGTTCGATTAGGGCATGTTAGCCTTAGCCTGTTGTCAATTTATTACCAAGCTACCTTGCTGATTTCGACCAGAATTTTTGCCTCTAGTTCAGTATTTTAATCCTATTCCTTTTTCAAGATCTCAACCACTCAATCATTAAAAGAGTAGAAATGAATTACATGTTCATGTTAATGTCCTAATGAAAGGGAACTGATTAAAAATTGTTCGTAGTTCAGCACAAATTCTCGCGATCGTTTGATTTCGAATTAAACATATAAATAAATATGTTAGATTATCTTATGAGTTACACATCCTAAAAATGAACAAAACATTGGCCTGGGATTTTTCGACATAACTCTCAATGCATCTGGCTGATTATTAAATACTTGCATTGATGCTTTGACAACAGCACTATAAATTCTACAGAAGTGAGTTAATTAATGCATGCTAAAATTTTGCAGGTCTACAAATTCGGCCGAGGATGAGGCTTGAGTTGTGAGCACTGGATCCGTAATTATTTTCGGTACTTGCCCTCTCAGTCTTGGGCTAGTTAGTGCCTCTCGGCATTCACTATTTCACTCGGTGAAATACGTTGGAATACATATGAACTTATTCGTACCTATAAAGCATGATGCGGCAATGTTTTTCTGATTTCAGTACTACGGGAATATTGATTGTGAATTGTGATTAATATTTTTGGCATTACTAGACTAGTAGAATATGGGTAAATACTAGTCGATGTTACTGTTGCTGTTCTGCGTTTCATTCAGGGCTGATTGGTGTTCCAAATTGATTGTGCTCGCTGATCAGTAAACTCTATGCCTATGGTCTGCACTCTGCGAGTCTGCAACCAGTGCCGACCACCTAGAATGTTTTGTGAAGATATATATATGATCTCCACGAACAAACAATAAAATTCCTTGTAACATGGGTAAGAACTAAGAAGGATAGCTAGTAGATTAATCTCGAGTCTCGTGAGGAGTGATTTGGCGGTTTTGGCCTCTTGTGTCAGTTGTGTGAATGTGTGTGGCATAGGCTATGCCAATTAGCCAATACAATTTTTACAAAAGTAGCCTACCTACTCAGAAGTCCTCCTTTCATTGTAGTCTGTAGATGATGTAGATGTAGAATAAATGGCATTTTCTGTGGTTTTTACTTGTAATAACTTGTTTATCCTTCATTGATTAATTTGATTTGATATCACCATATTTATTTAGGTTACCATATTGATTATTGATGGTGAATGACAGATGTCAGATGACTCATGACTGAATGTGATATTACCATTTACCAATATACATAAACATGCCATTGAGATTTGAACATTTACAAATTACAATGACCTTGTCCACTTCAATCTTCATATCAGGCTATCAGCAGCCATAGTAGGTTACAGGTAGGATACCTAGACCTAGCATTTCTTTTGTTGAGTTTTGTAGTCTGAAAGCCAGCTGTTAGCTTGCATGATGACTTGTAATTTCACACTATTTGAATTGGGTTGTGTGAATTCACTAGGCTATAAAAAGGACGCAATAATATGCATTTAAAAATTACTTTTTAAAGACAACACTTCTAAACTTAAAGAATCCAGTGTCTCTGCTCCTTGCTCTCTGCCTCTCTCAAGGCTCTCTGGTGTTACACATGTACCACAATGAATTCCTAATTTCATTATGAAATATTAAAAGTCTAATTTTTAAATTTTATTTTTAAAATTAATAAAAATATAAAATTTTTCAAAATTAGCCTATTAAGCCTATTCTGTCAATTGATACGGTTGATACCTCACTGCATTGTCTCCGTCTCTGACTTTACGCAAGTGTGCAAAATTTCAGATCGATTGGACAACTCAGGACAGGTAGGTACCTAGGTAGAACCGCACTTACCGCAGGGCTGGAAAAGTCCTATTTTTGTCTGAAATATCACGGCTCTAATATCATATAATAATAATATCAGTAGGTATGAAATCTCGTGGCTCAAATGTCATAATTTTTTGTTTGATTGAAAAATCACGGTTTGCACTTCACAAACATGTCACTTCATAAAATTTTCGACTTCCGCAATCTGCATTGCTTCACGGTTCCTGCCAAAATATCCTGCAGAAAAAACCTAAACATCGTAATGTAAACAAATCAACTAAACGTTTTGTTGAAGATCGCGCATAGTTGTGGACTTGTGGTCATGTCAAAGCGGTCAGAGTTCAGACTCACGTGCTCAACTTACAGTAAAAACAAATTTTATTGTTGCCATTCGACTGTTTTAGGGTAAAATTAGAGATTTGAGGTAACACGTGCATGGACTTTGTAAATAAATTTGCGCATTGTAAATTGCTTTTCATGGCCGAGATATGGAATTCACGGCTTGGTGAAATGGAATCACGGCTCGAAGAAATGGAATCACGGCTGGCAAATCCATAGAACCACGGCTTGAAAAATTCAGTCGCGGCTTGCCAAGTAGACATATTCCATGCCTGTAGAACCGGTAGAAGTAACTTTTTGCTTATTAGATCTTATGTTGTTACTTTTGTTACGACTTTTGGAAAAATTCGCCAAATGTTGTTACTTCATGAATTTCAGCCAATAATTCTTTAAATAAGGTCCCGTTCCGTTGGCACTCGTGCTGACTACATAGTCGGTTTAATTAACCGCGCCTTGTCTCGTTCATAACTCGAATGGTCGAGTTCGGCAACGTTCGCCGGTAAGTGCGCCAAGCGCCATGCCGGTGCTCTAGTTACTCGTTAGCCTTCAACTGGTCAAGATCGCTGCCATATCTAATGCTCACTTTTATCAATTATTATTATGTAACTTTGCTATTTTTGAGGATTCATTATAATTATTCCCATATATTCTTAAGTTTGATTAGCGCGGTTTTGCTTTAACACGGTAAAACTCGGGGATTTATTAACCGCGTTAATCAAGGGATTGCTGTATATACCTGAAACAGTGAAACAGAAAGGAATGTTTTAGAAACAACCATCATACGTTTTGGAGAAATAAATCATAGTTTAGGTTGATTACATTTCAAATGTTAAGATCCGCAGAGCAAAAGTCCAAGTCAACTAGTGAGAACATCAAAATACGTAAGAAAGTTGATAGTTGACCTTGCTTTACTAAATAGTGATAAACTGTTTGTGTAGAAAGAATATTATGGTTTGAGACTTTTAAATGAATCTGTGAATATACGGTACTAGGAATCTTTCAAGTATACCGTCAACCGGGGCTACTCGGGATGGGCGGGGCTACTAGGGACAGTCCTCCAACACTGCGTAAAACTGTTATAGTAGCAAAACTAATTGGAATATTGCAAAACTAAATATAGTGGCATAAACATCAACATTTTTCCTATCTATGTAGTATAAAGGAAGTCAAAAAATACCACATTTACTAGCTTTGAAAAATTCCTGAAAAAAATGGTGAAAAATGCTATTTTGAAAAGTTACTTCTGCTGAGGTCTGTAGCCAAAAAAATATTCGCCGTATTAAAAAATGTTACTTACATAAAAGATGCACCCAGGTGTCGGCTTGGAAACGTAATTGACGGAATTGTCCTATCTCGTTAAAAAAAATGGCGCCCATTTCCGCATGGCGGGGCTACTCAGCACACCACACCGAATAGCCCCCCCCCCTGGGGCTATTCGGGACACCCTCAAAAACGCATTTACAGTAGAACCTCAGTAAGCAAAGGCTCCAGTTAAGGAAAAAATTGATTAAAAACAAAGAATATTGATTACATTTACCTCGCTTGGTGAAAAAAATTTCACTTATCAAAAAATTAGTGCATCATTGGTCGTCACAAAATTGTACATAGAATGCTATATATATAATTGTACACCGGGCATCATAGAATGAAAAGTAATTGACCTAAACTATGATTTATTTCTAAAAAATATATGATGGTTGTCACTAAAACATTCGTTTCTGTTTCAGGTATGTTTTTCACAATCTTTTTTTTATAGTAAATTCGCCTTACCCAGTTGAAATGGCGCATAAACAAGCGCATGGCGCATAAACGAGCACTATTGTGCTTGCCATGTCCGTCTGTCTGTCCGTCCGTCTGTCCGTTCGTCTGTGACCTCAAGTTGTCGTCGACGAGAAAATGCGCTCTCTGTCACTCACTGCAGTGAGTAGATACTGAGTTATATTTTTTATAGTAAATTCACTCAACCCAATTAAAATGGTGTGAAATTACAAGCCCTCCTGTGAGCTTACAGATACAGAAAAAATGCTATAAGGCTGCTGATATGAAGCTTGCAGTGGACAAGGTTGTTGTAAATGCTTGATGGCATGTTCATAGATATGGTAATATCACATCAATAATACAGTCAGTAATATCACATCAATAATATCAATAATAGGGTACTGTCAACTGGGGTAACTTCGGCCCTGTTTTTGAATTTGTTTTGCAAACAAAAGCGGGGTCATAAAACGATGGCCAAAGTCACTCCTGTGTTTATGACTTTGTTTACTACCTTGGCGTTTATGACCCCGGCATTTATGACCCTGTTTTTGTTTGCAAAACAAAATCGAAAACACAGCTGAAGTCACCCCAGTTGATGGTACTTAATGTTTATGGTAATATCAATAAATGAAAAACAAGTAAAAAATAACTGAAAATATCATTTATTCTACCTCTACATCATCTACAATGAAAGAGGAGGACTTCAGAGTACTGTTAGTAATGGATGAGTACACTCTGCATGCTTCAAATATTTTAAAATGAAGTTTTATTGCAAGTGTCCCGAGTAGCCCTGTGAGTAGCCCTGTTCGACGGCATTTCTACAAAATGTGGGACGTGTTGCCCGATTTACCCCACCCATCCCCTATTACCCTGTTTGATGGTAGATATATTCCATGCCTGATGGCGTAGGAACTAGCCACTAGGGGCTAGGAATTAATGCTAATTTCCACTCCTCTAATTACCAATAGGCAGAAGCATACATACAATCTCATGGTCAGAAAAATGTGTCAGGATCATGGAAATTTCTATTGTCTTTTTATCTATCTGCAAAGTGCATCAAAATATGTTAAAAAATAACACTATTTGCCAAAAATTAGTTTCAAAATGGATACACTGTTGCATAGATGCACTCGCACACATGTTGCACAACTATACACATGTCAACATGTGCATCAGTACCTGTAATAGTGATCATATTTACATTCAATGCCAGCTGGTTTGTATCATTTGTATGAAATAATTTTTTTAGAAGATGCAAAATAGTTTTTTTCATATTTTAAAATGAGTCAAATGGGAGCTCTTCTCAATCACCTATTCATATCTGAGAATCACACAGAAATTCAGCTTTTTGAAGTGAGATTTTGAGTTTCCATGTATAGTAACTTGACTGCTAGAGTGCTAGTGGGTTAAATGCTCAGGATAAATATACCTAGGTACTTTCTAGCATAACAGAGGTACCGGTAATGCTATTCATGAGAGTGACTGATGATTAGAATGGCTTAGGCAAGATAACACATCCTCAAATACAAATCAGAGAACATGGTTGGGCTATTTGGGTACAGATATAAAGTTGCCATTTTATAGAGGGCTACTTTCTTGCCAAAATGTATTTCAATGTGATTTAATGGATACTTAGTCTAATACTGAAGTAGAATAAATTATGTGATTTTAATGTAACCTTTTTTTGTGTCCATCAGCTTCATCATATTTTTCTTTTCAATATATAAGTCACTGCAATGGATGATGGTCAACATGATGTTCCTCCTGGGAATGAAGCACAGAATGTCAGGTTAGTTGAGCAAGATACAATATGGAATATTGATTTCATGATTAGTCTGAAGTATGTTTTTTAAAGTATGTTCAGGTTTATGTATGTTTTCAAAGCTTGGCTCTGCAAATATATTAGGGCTGTTTGGATGCATATACTATCTATATGATGTGTAAGGTGTTGAGATATATTATAACCTGGACCTGAAAATTTTATTCCTTAGCATGATTTTATTAAGACATACAGGGGTTAGACTAAACAAGGAAAATGACTGAGAAATCAAAAAAATATATTTTAGTATGGTGTTGGACTGTAGGTCAGTGGTTCCCAAAGTGGGCAGTGCTGTCCCCCTTAGGGCGGCAGAAAGATGTATGGCTTAAGTAGGTAATTCACTCGGGAGCCAAGGGGGTGCCAGCCTGCAAAAGTTTGGCAACCACTGGTGTAGGTCTTGGGTTGTCATTGCCTTTTTGCAGCAATTTAATTTAAGAATTAGATCAAAACTGAATTTTTAAAATTAGCTTACATCTATAAGTACTTCTATTTAAAAGATAATAAATAGTTTTTTTTTTCAAATTTATTGATGAGAGTAATATATGAGTTTACTTTAATTTATGAAACCACTTATAAATTCAGGTGGCAGTAATAAAAAAATTATTGTATTGTGCAAGAAAGGATTCAATAAAAACAATCTCACTGGCTTAAAAACAAATCAATACAATATATGAATGGAATGGTTATACATATTTCCAGAATGAACAATCCAGAGCATCTTGGGAACAATGTTGGTGCTGATGAGGATATGGGTGACGCTCCTGCTGCTGCTGCTCGTGCCAATGATGTGATGGTCATTGATGATCATAATTTCATTGGTGCAAATGATGACATTGATGATGACCCTGATATTGTGGAGGAAAATGATACTGAAGATGATGATGATGATGATGGTCTAGCTGATCAGATTGAGCAACACATCCTATTCCACGACCTGGTTGATGCTGACCGCCCTCATCCAGCGCCTTTGGCACGAGACAACAATCCTGGGCCAGTGTAAGTTCAGGGAAATTTGTAGTGTCATGGCTATTGATCAGTAGTTTTTTAATCTGAGGTACAAATATTGTAAATCATTGCTGCTGTAACAGCCCGGTTCATACAATTATGTAAGAATGCATGAAAAATTTGTGTCTAGGTTTGAATGTAATGAGGTACATAATAAATATTTCCAAGTTAATAATCCATGCATGTTCTGAATGATTTTCTCCAGAGGCATGTGATAAATTTCTAGTAATGGGTTGAAAAACCAATATTTCCAAGAATGTATTGCATGATGGTAGTTTTTGATGTTTTTTCTATGTGCAGGCTTTCACTGGGTAATGGCCAGGGACGTTTGCTTCTGCGACATGCAAGCCAAAACAGCTTGGATGAGAGTTCTCAGCGCAACCTTCCTCGTAATGATGGAAGCCACTCCAATCCTCCCTTCACCAATGGACAGCATTTTCAAAGAGCTTTTGATGTTTTTAATGTTATGAGAAGGTATATATGTGTGATATGATCATAAACTCATTAGTCAAGGCCCACTTCATATGAGTCAATCAGTTTGATTTTTGAGATGCTCTAGAAGCTGATCTGGGCCTATACTTTCAAAAAAAGTTAAGAGATCGTAAGTTCATCAGCCAATCATTGACGGCCTTTCAGGCAAAATCCACCAATCATAGACAAGAAAATAGAGCGTAAGTACTTACGTTCACATAGCGAGCTTTGAAAGTATCCACCAATCATAGACAAGAAAATAGAGCGTAAGTACTTACGTTCACTTAGCCCAAATTTTGAAAGTATGGCCCCTGATACTTTTGTAATGGAAGATTTTCATGAATCTCACTAGGTAAAAGTTTGCCCTCACGAGTTTACAATATTGCTTCTACATTTCAGATTTCTACTTAGCCCATTTCTATTCTTTCTGCTCCTAATGTGCTATCAACTCTCTAGTCACTGTCCAAAATGTTGCCATACGATGAATAGGATACAAACACTGCACGCACCATCTTATACATAATTTACTTCTATATGTTATTAAGTGTGTGAACTCTGCAGTGGGAAGACCTTGTGTGACGTGGTGCTGATTGCTGGAGACGTTGAGGTTTCAGCTCACAAGACAGTACTGGCTGCATGCAGTCCATACTTTATGGCCATGTTTACTAGTAAGTATTGATGCACTAATTGTGCTTCTATGAATATTAAAAACCTAACCGTATTTTTTATCAGCATACTTGTCCATGAATACATCGTTAGTGTCCATAGTGAGTATTTTTAGACATGGATGCTTGTTTGTATTTTGTGCTTATTTTTGTACAAAATGTCTGCAATTGTTCTCCTATAGGTATTTTTACTGCTATTGAAATTTATTTGTTTAACTAATTATGCTGACAAAATTAGTCACAAATATTTAGTAGTCATAATCCTCAAAAATATCTATTGATAATATAACATTTTCAATCTCCATTAATAATATAGCATATTCACAAAGTTTTTTCTGCCTTTTTGAGGAGCTTTGAATTCTCTTGTTTAATTTTTTCTCAGGTTTCGAGGAGAGTCGGAAAGAACGAATAGTCTTGCAAGAAATTGACGGTGCAGCTCTTGAGCTTGTCATAGATTATATCTACTCGGCTGACATCTCCGTCACCGAGGATAATGTCCAGGTCTGCAAATGTGATGATTTTGCATAGTAATGGTTCATGGTCTTACTGAATATGTGGCAATTACTAATCTCTGATTTTCTCTACAATGGGCTTGAATGCTTTTGATACTGAGTAAATGATAATAAATCTATCATTGGTATCAATCTATTTTACTTGTGAATAAAAAATAAAATTTTTCACTCTTCAAAGTCTTACAAATACTTACAAAATGTTGATTATTTTCTCTTCAAAACGTTAGAATTGCTCCCATTAATGTTACCTATAACAGTGAAGAAAAATAGTGGAATTTCATGAATATACCTTGAACATAATTCATACATTATACATGATTTATACTACATGCATGAATATATGCGCAGGTTTTGCTGCCTGCTGCCAACATCCTGCAGCTAACGTTTGTGCGGGACTCTTGCTGCGAGTTCCTGATGTCCCAACTGCACCCCACAAACTGCCTCGGCATACGCGCCTTTGCCGACCTCCACGGCTGCCTGGAGCTATGTGAGCGTTGTAATGATTACTATCAAGAAGATATAATTATATTCATTTATAATTTATGCTGATAGAATAATGATATAATAATATACAAGTGACCCAGCACTCAGTATTTTCAAATTATTGTTACATTGGCTGTAAACTGGCGAATAATAATAAGAATTGAATTGTAATCGTAGTTGTTTCATTACATTATTTATTGCATTATTTATTTTATTTCATAAAAAAGTTGTTTTACCCTTGCGTCACTCATGTACGGTACCTATCTTAGGTATCTCTTACTGATAATTGAAGCATTTGCAGGGAGGTGGTGGACTGTGAAGAGTTCCTCAGCCTCTCCCACGACCAAGTTGTACGCCTCATATCCAGCGACCGACTGCAGACTCCTGCTGAAGAGAAGGCGAGTCAATCATTCTGATGTGATGTTCAATGGACGAATGGGCATAATAATAAGAAAAAGCACCATTTGATTGGGGTTAATGAGTCCGCCAACTTAATATGATGCGGCACTCAATTGTGGCAAGTCAATATGTTAAATGAACTAAGTACTTAACTGAATTGTGAGTAAATTGATGAATTCAATTTCAAAAGCTCTCTGGAAAATCATTGCTAATCCTGGCTAGTAAAACTGTACCAGCAGTTTCTTCAATTTGGTTCACGTTGATGACATTTATTAACAATTATGTTGAGCTACAATAATGTTGCTAAAAATGAAATGAAGAATGCTATTCCAAGGATGTGATAAACTTGTTTGTTTTCAGGTGTTTGAGTGCGTGATGGCGTGGGTGCAACACGACGTAGCAACACGTCACCAACACGTCGCGGAGCTGATGGCGTTTGTGCGTCTACCGCTGCTGCAGCAGGACTACCTCGTGCAGAGGGTGGAGCGTGAACCACTGCTTAACAGCAACATAAAGTGTCAGTTGTGGCTGAAATTGCCATTTTTGTTGAGTGGTAATACTTATCTGGTTGTGGAACGGTTTTCAGTTGTTAATGTTGTAATGTGAAAAAATTGAATAGGTAATAGTTATGGTGAAAAACTTCTTGCTTTTGTTGTGCGGAAAAACTAACTTGGATTTGGGACGATTTAAATTAGAGTTTAGGAAGAACAAACTTTAATTTGTCGTTATTTTATTAAACTCGCCCCTTTTGATGGTAGCAAAACTAACTTACATTTGTAATGACTTGAATTATTGTTGTAGTGAAGGGAATATTCGATAAGTTATGGGAAATATACCTTTCTTTCCTTGAGCAAAGTGGTACTACTTTGCTTATAATCACTGGCGTTCAATTATAAGTGAATGTGCAATGATGTCATCAACGTATGATAAACGCTTCAATATTGTGCATTATACTTTGAAAACTTTCAATTTGTTCTGATTTAATTGATAAATATAGATTTTTGGTTTCAGGCAAGGATTACCTCATTGAGGCGCTGAAGTATCACCTGCTGAGCTCTGAACAACGCTTGCAGTTCAAGACTCCTAGGACAAAACCCAGACAACCTGTTGGTGTTCCAAAAGTATGTTTTTTGGCATTATGATATTAGCATTAAATTCCTTAGAGTTTGTTACTATGAGTTGTTTTGCACTAAGATATTACCATTTGATTCCTCAAATGGAATTCTTGGTAGATTTTGTAATTTACGATAGAGAAAATCTACATTATTGAATTTTCGCTGCAGTTACGTCGTTCTGACAATGATGATCAGGTTATCTGGAAGAAAAGATGATGTGTTGGTATTTTCCCTGAAATACTTTCGGCGGCCAGCTAGACCAATTTTTCAAGTCTTGGTTCGACTGAGGTGCTTCATCTTAGATGTGACTCTGTCTTTAGTGTCCATAATCATTGCTCTATTAGTAACTAAATTTCTTGCTGTTCTGAATTGATCAACATCTTGTAATGGTAGCGCTTGTTTCAAGTTCTTGGACCAAGTTATTCCATTTCTAGATTTGACTTTCATTAAGTATCCAATCAAAGTGGTTGAGTTCAGCAAGATTGAAGTAGCAATATGCTTCAGTCTTACTTGCAACCCACAACTAGCTGAAAATTCTGGTCGAAATTGGCAACCGTCCAAGGCTGACAAACGTTTTTTTATGGCCATGTCGGTCATTTTAATGGACAAACGTTTTTTATTAATTAGTATATAATTTGAATGGACAAACTTGTTCTTTTATTGATGTATTAATATTCTTCAATTGGTTCAGGTGCTGCTGGTGGTTGGAGGGCAGTCACCGAAGGCGGTGCGCAGCGTTGAGTGCTACGACTTCAAAACAGAGAAGTGGTCGCCCGTGGCGGAGATGCCGACAAGGCGATGCCGGTTTGTTATACTTATAACTATCGCATGTATTTTCTACAAATGTATGTATTTATACATATATATGCGTTTGTGTTCAACATCAGTTGTGTTGATTTTTGTCTCTCGGAATAACCATTGTGTTTGGAAGCTAAGACCAATTGTGTTGATAAATACCATTATAAACCCATGGTGTTTACAGATGCGGGCTGGCGGTAGTAGAGGGCCGCGTGTACGCCGTGGGCGGCTTCAACGGGTCCTTGCGCGTGCGCACCGTCGACGTCTACGACCCCGCGTCCAACACTTGGTCAGGCTGTGCCAACATGGAGGCTCGACGCAGCACCTTGGGCGTTGCTACCATCAGCGGCAAAATATATGCTGTTAGTGTGCCAACTTTATTATAGTTACTCATATGATTTTGGATATACGTGGACTGACTGCTCCAGTATAGAGACTGAACCCAGCACCCTCGTTATAACCATAATAAAAGGCAAAATAAAGGATGTAGGTGTGCTTCATCTACTATATGTATCTAATACAAATATTTTCATGTCAAGTTACGGATGTCTTCATCCATGGTCACGCTGATGTACTGCCTTTGATTCCTATGATTACGGATAGTTTTGTGTTGCGGTTGCTTCCTCTGTTTATGATGTTGAATACACTGCACCAACAATATACCTGGCGCATCGCCTTTGCTATCGCCACCATCGATAGAAAACAAATGTAGTGTGGTGCGTTCACAGCGTTCTTGAACATTCGGCGTGAAAACACTAACCAACTTTAATGCTACTTGTACCTTAAGGCCTTGCAATTACAGTTTCTGTCAGTTGATGAAAAGTTAATGTCCCCTATAGAGCCTGGCTACTGTAATAATGCTGAATCACATCCAATCAATATCGCTTGCTTTTAAGTATATTATTTTAAATGGTCCTGAATCTGTTTACTGCTTCCTGAATTTTCCTGAAGCATACACATTTCTTCCTGAAGCATAAACATTTCCAATGTGTATGCTTCCCAACATCTCTGATGATATATTTATGATATCCTCTATGATGAACACACTTTCAACAGGTGGGAGGTTTTGATGGCTCAACAGGGCTGAACAGCGCTGAGGTCTACGACCCAAAGAAGTCCGAATGGCGAATGATTGCACCCATGACGACACGACGCTCTTCTGTGGGCGTCGGCGTCCTGCAGGGCAAGCTTTATGCGGTAAGTGATGGTTCTAACAGTTTTTATTGTGAATATTAAATTATGATAGGGACAGGATTTGTTGCCAATTTCTATCATTACTATCAGAATCTCGCAAATTCAGCATCATGAAAATTGGGGTTCCCCTTATTCTGCGTTTAACAAATTTTATCAATACAGCTCCCTAAAAGATTTTACAAGTCAGTTAAGGCGATTCAAGAAAGAGCCAGTAGCCACAACCTAGTTTGAATTTTCATTGTTATCTCTATCATTATTTACGATCAGCTGTTTGTGTTTACTTTTTGTTAATGCTTTTGTTTACATATTTTTTTCTTGGAAAGCAAGCCCGACTGTACCTCAATACATTTATACATCACTGTTTTTTTCACATGTTGGAGGATATGATGGCGCCTAAATAGTGTAAACATTACGCATTACTATTATTTACATTACTCATCAGTTTTGTTCACATTACTCATGACTTGTGTTGACAGGTTGGCGGGTACGATGGCGCCTCAAGACAGTGCCTGTCTGGCGTTGAGAGATACTGTCCTGAGACGGACGTATGGACCCCCGTCGCTCAAATGATAGCGAGACGAAGCGGTGCCGGCATTGGTACGATCTTTAAACATCCTGATCTTGTCTTATAAGCATTTATATCTAAGCATTTATCAACGCATTCGGAGAAATGAATGAGACTTAGTCAAAATAGCCATGCACTATTTGCCCTCGTTTGGGTCATCCTGACATAATTTGGCCGGGGTTGATCAGTATCGAGTCCGCTCTTTTTGCTTCTTCTGTTAGAAAGTGTATGATATTTCGACAATATCAATCATTCATTTTTCTAAATGCTGGCACATTGTCAATGCTTTCCGTATTTATGGGCTGGGTTACGAAAGTTACTGTCAATTGATTGAGGGTTAATTTGTTCATTCAATAAGTTAATGTTCGTTTTTTATCTAGTAAGATATATTGAGTGCTTGTGTATTACATAACAGTTATTTGAGGTTACTTTGTTATATGCATCTGGTGAGGTACTGCTATCTAGGGAAGCTTAAAATGTTTAATTAATAAATAAAACATTTACTTATTAATTTGACGCTGCAGGTGTGATAGACAACGAGCTGTATGCCGTTGGAGGGCATGACGGTCCCCTCGTGCGCAACAGCGTCGAGGTCTTCAATCCAGACACCAACAAGTGGCGGTTGGTCGCTGACATGAACCTATGCAGGAGAAACGCTGGTGGGTCCAGTTTTGTCCAATTTATCTGCTTTTTATTGTTAAAAATCGTCACAAAATCCTACCTACGTTATAAGCTATTCACAATTGCCCACACACTTAACTAACTCTAACACTACCTGACATCATTTCCATTTAAGATGGAAAGCTTCCAGCCATTTAACTGGTTCTCGCTTATAAAGTACCTAACGGATTATTTTTCCGGAATAAATAGTCTTCTTATCGTCGGTATTAACGATCACTGACTAGTGGTTGACGTTGCTACAACAACAACAACTGTACATTTTGAGCGGTGTCATGCCTACAATACATTGTTTACTAATATTATTTTCTATCAAACTGATATTGAAAACGAACATGTCTCGTCTCGTACTCGTGCCACTCCTATACATGCACGGTTCGTCCCTTACTGTTCACACTCTCCCAACTCCTTTAGTAGTTCGTATTAGTACTGGGCACACTTCGTACTCAATCTATGCATGTCGCAGGTGTGATCGCCGTGGACGGGCTGCTGTACGTAGTTGGGGGTGACGATGGCACATGTAACCTCACCTCAGTTGAAGTCTACGACCCATCCTCCGACACGTGGACGCTCCTCGCTGCCAGCCTCTCTATTGGGCGGTCGTACGCGGGGCTCGCAGTAGTAGAGAAACCCGTCGCGCATTCCTCCTAAGCTGTTATCTATTATAGTTATATTATTCTTTAATCCTTTGTTTATTGACGAGAACTGTTGGGTTACTCTCGACACGTCCTCTTAATCTAATCGCAGTATATTATTCTTTAACCCTTTGTCTACTGACGGTGACTCTCGATACGTGCCTCTTACTCTCCTCATCACAGTTGACGACAGTCGACAGTTTACCTAACCTGTCCACTGACGGTAATTCTCCATCCAGGCCTCTTAATCGACTCTTCTTAGTTCAATTTTAGCCCTCTACTTACTAACAGTAACTCTCAATGCCAAATATTTAGGAAAGAATAGCATTGTCGATCGTCCGTCTTACCTTAGACAAAGGGTTAAAGTCTTATATTATTATTTTAAATGACCGCACCTGGAAGAACTTCTCAGAATCCGTCTTAGTGTACACTCGACACGTCCTCTTAATCTAATAGCAGTATATTATTCTTCAACCCTTTGTCTACCGACGGTGACTCTCGATACGTGCCTCTTACTCTCCTCACCGCAGTTTATTCTTAAAGCCTTGTTCTCTACGGACGATAAGTTTCAGTACAGAGCTTCATGTATGAATGACATTGACGACAGTTCGTTTACCTAACCTGTCCACTGACGGTAATTCTCCATCCAAGCCTCTTAATCGACTCATCTTAGTTCAATTTTAGCCCTCTAATTACTAAGATTAACTCTCAATGCCAAACATTGAGGAAAGATTAGCATTGTCGACCGTCCGTCTTACCTTAGACAAAGGGTTAAAGTCTTATATTATTATTTTAAATGACCGCACCTGGAAGAACTTCTCAGAATCCGTCTTAGTGTACAGACTTATTATAATAAGATTGAACTCGCTTCTGAAAATTAAATTATGCTCTCGGTGATATATGTGGAATAAAAACGTGTTTTTAGATTGATGCAGCAAATACTTACGCTGCAATTAGGTGCACTTCTTATTTAAATGAGCTAGTAAAAGTTTTGATCTGAAGTAAACTAAGGACAACTGTTTCGGTAATTTCATGTGTCTAAGTCAACGAAATTTATGCTAAAGCAGTGTATAAATTATGAAGAAGCGCCCAAAATGGAACTAAAACCTACGCGAACACCCTTCCGTCCAAATCCTTTGAATTCCACCGCGTATGCCTGTTCTATACCTGATAGTAGCAATCTCTCTATTAAGATTTATCTTATTGCAAATGCTGTGCTATTTTTCTAGCCTTAATCCTCTGCCCTCGAAAATTTTCAAGCAAAACATTTTCTACCCTCGGCAGATGTTGTAAGAAGTATGCTGTATGAAAACGGCATTTTGAATTGAAACACTTCGAATCTCCTTTTCGGCTGATTACTTTTGAGAGGAATTTCTGGCAAGAAAAAACTTGGTTCATTTTTCCGCGCATGTTTTGATTGCATCATCGAAATATCTTAATGACGTACCAGCTTTGGACAGAACTGACTTTGAATGGAATGTTTATTTTGTTTTTAGTTTGTGAATATGTATATTTTGTAATATTGCTTGTAGAACTCTCGTAGTACAAATATCGTACGTGGAGCTTATATACTATACAACGAACTCCTGTAATTTTTTTGCATATATTCTGGCATCATCACTTTTAAAATTCTGTTGTACAATTCGCCTTTCTAGACTTGACTATTGCTCAGATTAAAATGGTATGGGAGAAGAGCTAAAATGTTTAATTTCAAACATTTATTGGTACTTAATTTTCATAGAGGACAAATTTCAATTCTAAATGAAATGAAAGCTTACGCCGTTTTTGTGCTGTTTCTGCTTACTTAGAATATGAGATGTGAAGCTGTGATAAAGACTATCTATGATATAGGTTCCTAGTATTGTTTGTAGTTATTAATACATCGACGCTAAGTCTGCATGACCAAATGGTATTACAATATTTTTGGCTACAGGTTTTGCTCCTATTGATTACGATTTTTCAATATTCCGTCATTTCGCTGATGTTTACTTTTCCGTCATTTGGAACCAACTCCTGCATTGTATATTTCCTTCACGGTTTAATCCCTTCAGAGCTATCCAAAATTTATGAGATTTAGAAGACGTGTTATTTCATTTATTGCTTGGTCGTGTAAACCTTAACGTTTAATAGGCATCTCTGCACTAGAGCAAACCACGTTACTACCCCCATTATTTTTCATAAGTACTTATTTACTCACTTCCGAAAGCCTAAATAATATATTTTGATCGTTCCGCTTCAGTGTACCTACTACNTAATAAGCAATTTGTCGATGACTATTAATATTTTACTAATTTTTGAAATCCGATTCCATCAGCTTATTGTTGATGTTCATGACTCAATCTGTCAATCTTCTTATTTTATTTTTTTTTAGTTTTATTCGACTCTTATTTTAGTTATTAGTGTAACTAGCTTCTTGTACCTTCCAATTTGCTTAATCAACCTTGTTTTGCCCAACTATTAGCCTCCCCATGACGTATAAAAAGTTTTCTCTTCTGTTACCTTCACTCCTTTGCTGAAAACTTAATTCCTGATGTCACAACTTTCGTCAATACTTTCTCTTGAAAATCCGAGTCTCACTCTTTTTTTCTTGTATTATAATCGTGTGTACCCGTGCCCTTGTATAGGTTTTCAGGCACAGCAATTAATTATAGCCCAGTTTGTGAATGTAAAAGCAAACGATGAATTAACGATGTATTGTCTAAAATTTTAACAATGTCTTCTCAGTTTTACGCGCTTGAGTCACTGGACATTGATTTAAGGTAACTATCGAGTCATTATTTCAAACTTGTTTCTCGTATGGAATTATGGCGAATAATTTCGTCCGCAGCCTCCCACTGAAAAATTTCGCTAATAATGTTTCCAGTCTTTTTGAAAAGAGCGACTCCATCCTCTATTGAAACGAAAGCAGCTCTAGGTCGGATAAGTTAGAACGATCGCTTGGTCCCTGAATTATATAATTGCTATTATGAACGAAGGTAATGTATGTTGAGTAGATATTATTCTAAATTATGGACCCAATTCAATTTATTCGTATTTATTAAGGTATAAAGTCAAAATGAATAATTTTTACACCAATGGAAAGAAAGATTCCATTTTTTAATATTTATAAATGTTCAATATGTGTCCCTTGTGCTGCATGGTTGACATCTTAACGGTACCCAAACTCGTCCTACACACGAGAAAGCATATCTTGAGTGAACTGTAGCAGTGAGTACGGTTCTTCAGAGCAACCAGAGTTGCTGGTAGAGTCAACTGGTAGAGGCAGAGTAAACAGCTTCCTTGACGTAATCCCACAAGAAATAGTCACATGAGATCAGGTGATCTCGGTGGCCAGAAGTGCAGAGCAAGATCTTCATTTCTTATGCGTCCTACCCAACGCTCAGGAAGTGACTGAATCGAAATGCTGCCGTTTACATGTTTACCGTGCAGCACAAGGGAACATATTGAATATATTTATAAATACGTACAAAAATTGTGAATCTTTCTTTCCATTCGTGTGTATATTATTCATAATGAATTAAAAATTGTGAATCTTTCTTTCCATTTGTGTGTATAGTATAGTATTCATAATGAATTTATACTTAAATACAAAGTTATTAAATTGGTCCATCATTTAGAATAACCCTATATGCGTTGTAAGTTTTACTTGTTATTTACCAGTGATCAATCAATGTTGCTATGCAGCCGTTTCGGCAAATTTGTTCAACTCGACAATAACACGAGCAAAGACTTAACATTCGACTATTTTACGATTCAAATATTAAATTCCCGCATGAATTATGATGAGGAATATTTTGCTGGACTTATGTGGCCAAAGTTTGTAAGTATATCACTGGCTGTAGAATTTAAAATTATTCCCGGTGGCGTAACAAACGCATGCAGTTGTAGGTCTCGCGTACGCGTTACATGCTGCTGTGGCATCATAATCGTGGTGCAGATTTTGTTCCACCCTGGAACAACATCAAAACTGCGATTATTAATAAATCGGCCACGAAGAAGCCATAGAAAATTCAAAAATATTCGACGCAATCCACTTCTCATACAATTTCAATTGTAGTAGCTTAAATTGATTAGTAGTAAATCATCTTCAACGTGCTTCACAGATTTCATTATCCTTATAGGCTGCAAACTTATTTTGAATATTTCAATCATAAATAATGATCTACTTGTAATAATGATCACTCTGAAGTTTTTGTGAAGTTATAAAATAAATAAGCTATGTGTTCAGTCAGTAACAACAAAATTAGTACACTGATCCAGGTACTGCGTAGTTATCCCTAAACTTCATGCCATGTGTTCAGTCAGTATCAACCTAAACCAGTACAGATCCACACAGCTCAGTCACCCTTGAACTGCATAGGAGCCTAATTCAACAAGCCTCACATAGCGCAGTTACCCCTGAACTGCATGCTGTGTTCAGTCAGTATCAACCTAAACCAGTACATCCCCACAAAGCGCAGTCATCCTTGAACTGCATGCGATGTGTTCAGTCAATAGTAACCTCAATCGGCACAGAGCCTTACATAGCGCAGTCACCCCTGAACTGCATGCCATGTGTTCAGTCAATAGGAACCTAAATCCTCAATCGGCACAGAGCCTTACATAGCGCAGTCACCCCTGAACTGCATGCCATGTGTTCAGTCAATAGGAACCTAAATCAGCAGAGCACCCCACATAGCCCAGTGACCCCTGAACAGAATGCCATGTGTTCAGTCAGCAGCAACCTAAACCAGTACCGAGCCACATGGTGCCCAGTTACTCCTAAATTGCATGCCATGTGTACAGTCAATAGCAACCTAAATCAGCACCGAACACCATATAGCTCAGTTACCCCTGAACTGCATGCCATGTGTTCAGTCAGTATCAACCTGAATCAGTTCTGAGCCCCATAGCTCAGTCACCCTTGAACTGCATAGGAGCCTAATTCAACAAGCCTCACATAGCGCAGTTACCCCTGAACTGCATGTTGTGTTCAGTCAGTATCAACTTAAACCAGTACATCCCCACAAAGCGCAGTCACCCTTGAACAGTTACCCCTGAACTGCATGCCATGTGTTCAGTCAGTATCAACCTGAATCAGTTCTGAGCCCCATAATGCGTAGTTCCTCCTGCATTTAAAATACTACCATTGCCTGTTGCGAACTTCACTCATTCAAATGTCAACTTAGAAAGAGTGAAGGGGTACAACACGAATTAAGAAATGAGGGATAAGAAAAAGAGAAACATTTGCGATCATTTGAAAATACTCTTCATTACTCTTTATGCAACATCATTTATAAAACATTTCATGAGACGACAGCGTGCAACATTCATGGTAGAAAACGACTGAGGATGTTATCGTGACAAACTACGCGTGCTTTGCCTAACATTATTGGTGGACTAATGCCTTCTGTCACATTACGGTATTTACTTTCTGCTATCACATTTTCCTACTGGCATTGTTGCTGCGATGACAATAATTACATCTTAATGCACGACTAATGACGATGGCACTTGAAGATTACGGGTGACATTTTCAAACATCAGAGGAACTATCCTGTTAACATGTAACATGTCGAACTTACCTTCCTGACGCCGCGCTTGCGGTTCAATTCTAATGCTGATAACGTACTTGTAACCTTGTAACGAAGTAACATCCGATGGCTGTGAAGTATACATAAGCCGGGAAATTTGTTGAAACAATTCGCGGAGATGCGACATTTAGCAACTCGCTGGGCAACAAATAAGAGAATGCCATCTAGACTTCTAGTGGCGATACGGCATTTTTCAGCATATTTGCAGCAGAAAATATTACAAAAATCGATTTGAAAATGACATGACAATTTTGAAATGAAAATTAAATGCGATTGGAACTCTATTCCGTTTTGCGAGGTCACCTGAAAGCAGCACTTCTCGCACAAACATGACGATTACGTACGATGATAAAGACTAATTGATACATAGAGTATTTAGGATTAGTAACAGGCATGCGAAATGCGACTTTTAGAATCGACTATTTCATCAACAAATTGAATAAATTTTCAAAATTTTGTTCCTAATATTTACCTTGAAACACAACATCCAGTCAATGCCATTAACAACCTCTTATGCAACGGCTATCAATAAATAAAAAGTGTTGGAGCATGTGTAGCAAATTATATTATCTTTGAAGGCGAAAGCATTCAAGATATACCGTTTTTCGACAGATAATCTTTCTTCGTCGACTTACACCAACTGAACAAATTACCTAATTCTTTGAAATGATATTGTGATATATATGAAAATGTGATATATTTTCAACAATGTCAGATTGTTAATCAGCTTGCCCATATATTATACAAGTAATCATATTCGAAAGTATGCAAATTTGTCAACTTGCATAAAAAGAAAATTTATATCCACTCTCTAAGGTATTGAAGCAATTACACAAGCACGACGCAACAATAACACGGCTAAAACGAGAACACACCAACCAGGAAAACTTAATAATACGAATAACCAAGCTATTTCCTTCTTCTGAATTTGGGGCCGATGGCAAGAAAGACATCACATTTGTGCTCCCGACTAGAACGGGTCTTTCTACTAAATTTCAGAGATGTTCAGCAAAGAACTAATTTGGTGCGAAAGTATATGATCATTACGACTAACTATTCCATATGATATATTTAATTACTACAAATTGAGGAGCCGTAATAGTTCCCTAATCGATCTGTCCCCAACCTTTGAACAAAAACTGAGACGATCACTTGAACATGTCATTTTAGGATAAAGCTTCTCATATTCAGGATTCAAGAAGTAATGGATATTAAACTTCTGCCCTGCCGACAAGGACCATATGGAAAAGTTAAACAGAACGTGACACTTACCTACTGCGAAGGACGTAATGGTGCCTTAAACAGCCCGTAACGGCGCCTCTAAAATACCCGACATTCGATCACGTTTCGGTTTGTAACCGAGCGAAATGATGACACGAGTTGAAATGCATCGCGCTATCAAATGCACTAACACATGAGCTGTTGGCGAGTATAATTAGAGAAATGGAAACCTTAGCGTTTAATAGGTTATTAGTTAGCCTATCATTTCTTCAGACTCCTACTTTGGGTGGATTTAGGCTTTGGCACGAGTCTGATATATAATGAATAGCACGTATAAAAGTAACCGGCTACAGCAGCATAAAGAACAACATCAACTGGAACAGTTAAACTGCTTAGCCTACTTAAATACAGTAAGATTTAGATGTAAAGTGAAGGAACAAAAATATCGATATGAATGGCATCACTGACATAAAGGAGGCATTTGAAAGTCAAATGCTTTGAAATAATTATGCTTGAAAACAAACGACATCAAGAAAATCTAAGAAAGTTTGTCGACATTCACGTATACAATTCAAAATAGAACATGCCGATTTCAAAATAATATCTCGCTAGCCATTCTCAAAACGGTATTGGAAAACACATTTAATAATGAAATGAACGATTTTAAACCATAGATTTCATTTTTTCTAGAAAAAAAACGTAGTCAGATGATGTACTAAATTATATGTACTATCGTCAACAGTCACAAGAGTCATATTGTAAAAGCAAAGCCATCGGCTTCCTGAGAGCAGTAACCTTCCAAACAAGGAATCTGCGTGAAAAACTCCACAGCAAAACAGCTTCATGCTCGAAAGCATGAGCACTTCTACGATGGCCGTGACTTATCGGTCAGCCATTAACGCTGCGTTGAAAGAGGTGAAGAAGCATACAAAGGTTAATTACAGGAGTAACAGTAGTAGCAATAACTATGAAGAAAGAGTAACTGCTGTAGGATACGCAAGAAACAACGTTGCAGTAAAGACGAGAGGGAAGAATGAACAGGCGCATTATTGATGCAACAATATCAATGCACACGGACGTCAACGATGAACAAAGTAAATGCTCCGGCGCCGATGGCAATCGCAACAATGAGCTGAAGAACTACGGCGGAAATATTGTTTTAATGAAATTCTAAAGGAAAGGCATTTTTACAGGGCTCGTCTAAAATGTGTATCACCCAAACAACAACTGACATTGAAGCGACTCCCACCGGCGTCGGTCACTGGAATAGGGAGTAGATATCTCTTATATAAAGTAGTAATATATATGACCACAAACAACTAGGTACCACTAAACACACAGACCAATAGCCAACACACTCTACGAGTACACGACGGAAATCCTTAAGGACTCCGAAAATCCTTAAGAGTTATACAGGTTTTAAGGCTTCAAGTTGCTCTACGGACGCCTATTAAACAACGATCACTTTCTCGCGCGACGATCGATCCTCCGTTCACACAAACTTTGCAGGCCTTCCGAGTGTCGAAAGCGGAGAGTGAAGTGAAGTGGACTTCAAACGCAACACAGGTGCTGACAGTCCATTTGTAACCATTGCAACATTCCTCCTGGGTTGCCGGAATTTATGAGAAGGCTTCACCGTCTCAAGCCTAAGTCATTGATGAAAGTTCCTAGAACTATGGAACCCAAACCGAGGTGCTTTTGTCCTAGTTGACCAAGCGAGAAATCATCGAAATGGAATTAGTTCTCTAGTTACATATCACACCGAAAAAAATTAATAAGAACATAAATGAAGATTTAAGGAAAGCCGGTTATGTTTTCGATATGATAAAGTATTACTCGAACAAATAAAAAATTTCTGGTGTAGCACACAAAATTTAACCTTCAATAAGACAACTTTTTTTGCTAAAGAACGTAATGCAGAAGTTTTGAGGCTCCGCGTAAGTAAACCTGGGCGTTCATAGAATTGCTTTAAATTTCACGTTTTCCCACGAAACGTAACAGAACAACAATTAAAAATGAAGTGACGAAAAACGTAAATGACGTCAAAATGGTGCAGTTAAGGAACAAAATAAAAAAAGTATGAAGTTTATCAACTTTATGTAGAACTTCAATACATACAAATTAAAACGGATATTCAAAACAGAAAACGGATAAGAGGCTACAAAATTATTCTAATTTCTCATAAAGTAATTATTGCAGGTAACTGAAATGGCAGAAACTAAAAAAAAAAAAACAAGTGGCAAACGTCGAACAAATTCAGGGCAAATAAACACGAGGGCAACTTAAAAGATATTCCCCCCAAAATGAAACCAGTAACTGAGGTAATACTTAATATGTCCACAATTAATTGACAGTACATAAAAGTCGGCCCGAACAAGCGCACATTCAATATGAATAATTGCATTCACCATTTAAAGTATCGTGATACGGATCGTGAGACACAATATTCGCCTACCAATGGAACTTGATTACTTGCAAAAATGTTCTTGAGCTTTCAGGCGACTGAAGCCGAAGTGAACAAAAAACATGGCACACAGAAATCAAATATAGTTACATAAAGAAACAATCAAAAAATACAAACTCATTGCCCCAAATACTACAGAAATATAACACCGCCGTTACAACTCCTTATGATAACTAAAATAATATTCGTCACTAACTATAACAAGAAGCACAAGCAGCCAACCACCAACAATACACTCAAGGCATGCGACAAAGCATTATAAGGAGTGTCGTTAACGTTGTCAGGAAATAAGATTGAAGAAAAAATCAATCACGGAGCCAGCAAAATTATTATCAATTAAGAGTTGACCGAATAGGATATCTCTCTTCAGACGAGAACATTGACTTCAATCGAAACGGGTCGCAACCAATGGAAAATGAAAGTGAGAGAATACGATCCAATTTGCGCGTAAATGTCTTGCCTTTCTCTATTTAAAGAAATTATCCTGCTTCTCGCAGATCAGTACACAACGAACGAAGTACATGGGGACTCAAATAGCGACGAACTATAATAAGTTTAGAACCACGCAACACACGCATTAGGAAACCGTCAAACACTTCCACTAGCGGGTCTTTCCACAAACACCAAAATATTTAAAGAAGCAAGTTTGGAGCTGGCAAACACTGAATTGATGAAGTGAAACAACAATAAATCGCTAGTCTCATCCAAGATCACAACGCTTTGTCAGCAGTTAACAAGGCGGGAGAAAAGTAACTTCTATGGACTAGAATATACTATTGAAATTCCACATAGTGCAAATCACCGTGGGAATGCTACACGAAATTTTAGTAGGGAGGATTTCCAGCAAAACTACGGAGTAAAACATCAATGATTCCGTGTACAAAGCAAGTGGAATAACATCTCTTCAAATGACAGGACAGAGGCTGAGACAAATTTAGAGGACGAGAAATCATAAGTGGATTATCTTATAAAAAAGACTGCCATGATCATTCAGCAATTAACCAGAAATTTCCAACACGAGAGTTCCGAGTGTGAACAAGCTGGTTAACTTTTTTCCCCACAGGAATAAGAGAAAAATAACACAATACGAGCAGAACCAGAACAGTTCATAATTGGACTCGTTTCACCAATAACTACAATTATGACAATACGGAAAATGAGTCGAGGAATAAACCGAATAGAATCTCAACCTCGCGGAGTTACCATGAAAGAGTCGAGAGGTTAGCCCGATGTTGAGGACCACCTCTGCTAGAGATGAAACACACATCGACTAATGCGACGATCAACGGGAAGAACATTGAATATAATCCATTAATCACAGCTCTTTTTTTTAAAACAAGAACAAGCCTTAAGTTTTAAAACGAAGAACATCAATGACTACGCGGAAAAGATTCTCTCGTACGGCAAAGCAGTCTTCAAATCCAAACAATTGAGTGAGAAAATCAACAAAATGTAACAAAAAAATCAAGAACAAATTTTATGGCGCATCACGAAAAAACTTCAGAAGGAACAGATCAAAAATATACATACTTCGCAAAAAGTCAAACCTTTGTACGAAAATAATTAACTGGGCAGCATACAACGAAATTCACGATGAGTGTCAGTGATTAGTGACCAATAAACTCTCACAGCACAGGAGGCTACATACAAGTATTAAATTCCTGACTACGGTAAGACATGTTGTAATGTAAATATTTAACATCAATTTCGACCGCTTCATGCAAGCTGGTGGTGTGCTCACTTAAACGCATAAAGTGTCCCATTTCGGGAACGCTGAATATTCTACAACAACTAACGTAAACCTAAAATCCTTCACTAATACAAGCACCAAAAAAACATAGGATGGCACGCAAATGGCAACGAGAACGCACACGATAGGTTGTCTAATATCCATACATCCCACAAAATGAAAAAAAGACTAAAGAAGAAGAAATACTTGAAAGTAACGTGCAATGTTTTGTCATGGGCGCAGCAGCGCCTCAGTTCATGCATTACGAAAGTAATCATCGAGTGATGGCGGGAGATAGAGACGAGAACTTCAATACAAGTCAGAATTGCAATAAAAAAAATTGCTTGTGTGTAACGACAAGTTTTGGGACTCGGGAAGACTGAAGATATGATAACAAAATTACGTAACACTCTATCAATGCCGTAAAATTTATTGAACAGTAAGAAAATTTCAGAGATGAACTAAGTGAACAAAATAAACTAAATTTGAGCCAAAGATCAACAGCATACCGGACCAGAAAAAAATATCACTTCAAACTTGGTTTAGACGACATTAAATTCAAAACTCGACTTGGAGATGGGTACGCAATCAAATATGGCATTAAAATAACGAGAGAAAAGAAAATGGTAGAATTTTAGGTTTTAGAAAGTTCGCACGACAGCCAAACAAGAGCACGATTAGAAATACTTGTAATACATGGTACACTCAACATAATATATCTCCATTAATAGTTGTTAGAGAAACACTTAACACTAAACTCATCAAAAACAGGTATAATCCGTTCTAAATATAGAACCACATAACGTAACCTAAGTTTCAGCAAACCTAAACAACGAACCTTTTTCCGCACAAATACGATCGTAGGCCACAGCACCAGCGACCCACCGATGAATTCTAGGGGCACAGATTCTTCCTTGAATAGCACCGATCCTCTCCCCCACAAAAAAAAAAAAATTCCAGTTTGCACAGCTGGCAATAATTCTCGAAAAAAGCTATGACGGCGACCAAGCAATCAAGTTGCAATAAAAAATCGAAAATACTCCTTGTAATCGAGTCGACCGCATCCGTCACACCGCAAGACGAAAATCTATGTGGTATTTTACCCAAACATAATTGGATATGCATTTATTTTGAGAACAATTTTTGAGAAAAAAAGCGTAACACGGGCTTAGGTATGTACTGTAATTCATCAAGGAATTAACAAACTGATCGACACAAGTTGAAGAGGATAACTGAAGGAGTCAAATTGTACCGACGTCACAACACCGAGCAAACCGCCGCAATTAGAACAATGCGAGATTAATTAATTAAGTACAACAGTACGAACTAACAGAGAATAACAGCAAGGCAAACAAATTCCCGGATTTAACATCTTGTTTTGGAAGAAGGCAAGAAAACTTAAACAGTAACGCACGCAACGCCGACTAGTAGTATGGCGCAAAGCAACTTGGGAATTATTTCCAGAATTATTATTATTCGCTTGAATGGGCAAACACTTGTGAGAACGAGAACGAGCTCCAGCTTCAGGAAATGAGAATAAGACAATAAGAAAATAATTGAGATAATGACCGCATTAGAATGTAGTAACCAGGCTCCTAACTAAAGCTTTGGGCTCGCGGGACGTCCTGACAGAACCATCGAGGAGATATAACAGTCGCAAATAATAATGACAAAATATCGAGCGTGATGAACTACACAAAGTTAATAGTAATACACTGCCACAAAGAGTCAGTTTTATGCTAACTTTCGCGAAGTACGAAACGCAGAACAATACATGCATCAGCGTACGTTTCGTCAACAGCTTAGAGACCGAACAGTCATTAGTGAAATCTACGGTAAAGAAGCTTAAGACGGACGGTCAGCCATGGATTAGGCGATGAATGCACTCAAAAAATATGTAGGACATGCAAACAAGCACGGACCGATCAAGGTCTAACTCCGGGGGTTAAATTACATTCAAATCAGGGACAATCCAACATAATGAATTTATCGAATTACACGACAGGAACTCCTCGATCACAAACTTAACGATGGAGGAGAAAAACTGGACAAATTAGAGGGACTTAAATGAGGTATTTGCGGACATGAAGTTAAGGACGTTTAGACTAGGCTTGACCAGGACTGCTCTCAGTAAACTAGGGTAAACCAGCACCAGACTAAAGGAAATACACATTTGGTTGTAGCGGTTTGCATTACTGAGACAGTAGTGGCAGCCAGTAAAACTTTCGTTACTACCCGTCATTATTGATCGCGCTATTGGCCCCGTGTATAGGCGACACCGCGCTCCAGAAGGCGCTAGTAACCCTGAACACGAGGCCAGTAACAAGATGATTTGCAGCGGTAGTAGTTGAAAATTGCACTAGCCGTCACTAGTGACCTCGTATACAAGCACTTATAACAGACTGTAGGCAAGTCACGAGACAGTTAAAATTACTAGACTGCAGGCATAAGCCGTATGGTAACGTAACAGAGCTACGTAACAACCAAACTATTCATTAGTTCTGATATAAATTATACGGACTGACAACAAGAAATGACTGCAATTAGGTAAGGTAATACTTCAACGATAACGGCTCACAGAATTTACATAAATGACTCCATCCGGCAGTGTGCAGCACACGCACTAGTATTCACATAATTAACTATGTAATGACGGTGGAGACTCCTACTCCTACTCCGTAGGATTCAAGAGGATGTTCTGAAGGATTATTATTATTATTATTATTATTAGACTAGTGGATATCCCACTTACAATTTGATGAAGGTTTGACAAATGAAAAGCAAGGTCTGTCTGCAGGATTGACAATTTAAACCAATCTATGAATTACAAAAAAGAGTAGATAATTTCAAATAGAGCTTGGACGATGGCAGCTTCCATACACAATCCAATAGAGCTTCCAACACAATGTTAATGGAACAAAGGGAAAGGGAGTCTTAGAATTCACAGACAACGTACGTGACATGTGTTACAACTTACATGCAGTCATGATGAGGTGTCTAAAGTGTAGGTAGAAGTTGCGACTCATTGACCTCAACAGACGATCAAAACAAACTATTAAGGTATCATCCGCTAACACGTGAATTTCGTCTGCGTATTAATAAACTGGGGTATGTATATATACTTTTGAACCAAATACCCCAAGGGATCTCTGAAAAGCGCATGTGGGAACACTGAAGAGGCACCCTTATGTAAGATAACCGATTTTATGCTCGTAGATCGCCAGAGCTTCAAATTAGAACATGAATTGATCGACGACATTGAATTAGAAAACGTGAGTGAACTACAGGTGTAATGGATATCGAAAGCTTTAGAGCGGAACTTCTATCAATTCTTGTACTGAATAATTCCAATTGTTGCACAGAATTCACTAGAAATGGAGCAGATTGATCACAACGGAATTACCAGGTTTATGGTCAGTACTTTTAATACTTTTAATGGACCTAAAGAAAACGGAAAAGTTTATTGTAAAAACCTACGAACAGTGGACGTTGAAGCTCTGCAGGAACAGCTGAGTGCAGGCACCAGGCACGGGTCATGACGAGGTACATCATACCAGGCACGGGTCATGACGAGGTACATACCAGGCACGGGTCATGACGAGGTACATCATACCAGGCACGGGTCATGACGAGGTACATACCAGGCACGGGTCATGACGAGGTACATCATACCAGGCACGGGTCATGACGAGGTACATACCAGGCACGAAGCAGTGACGTGTGAAGCACATGGAAAGGGTGACGATGAATCGATGCACACGAGACGGACGAAGCAGAACATGACGGGGCACAAGACGATGCAGATAACGAGGATGTCAGCCACCACGAGCATCAAAAGAAGAAAAGACAACACATCAACATCACTCACTAGCATAACGGGGTAAATACATTTACGAAGAAACGTAACATCCTACACAAATATAAATTACATGAGGTAACATAACGTTCAAAGAGAACACTGAAAAAGTTCACATGATAAGAAAATCCTGTAATAACCACGTAGCTATGCACGTTAAAAGATAACAGTTACACCTTCACGTGAGAAGATTCTGCAATGGAAGTGATGGATAAAGCTGTACCTGAAACTGGCCATGCTGGGAAATGCACCGACTTGATGCCAGACGAGAACTTATATTACATAAAATTATTGGTACAGTCTCAGGATGTTGGATGTTTACGTAATAGTTAACTTTAATTATCTTATTATTATTATCATTATTGTAAGAGTAGCTGATATTATCTGTTTATGTTTCTTTGATAATTCCAGTTGAGTATTTGCAACAACGAAGAACCATCAGATGCTTACGAGACGTGAGAATGAGAAGATAATATCTAGTCAAACGTTTAGTAAACGATCTAGGTCGCTACCTCCATCGAGAGTATTCTATACTAATGTGAGTTTCAGAAGGCTATCATGTTAAGTTCAAAAGCCTACAATGAAATCTGAATCAATAAATGACAACGAAATAGAATACAAAAAACAGGATCTTTTTGGTGCAGTCAAGCGTGAAGGAACGGAGTCACTCATAATAACGATATATGAGAACGTCGTAACCAGAAAATGTGATTGCTGTTACGGAAATTTCTAATTAGAAAGAAAGTGAAGAAATTTTCAGGAACTTAAGAGTGAATAACTGAATTAACAAACATCAACCTTCATAATTCACACAATAGAACATATCATTGATTAAGTAAATATATGTAACAACGAGAACAATAGTGAAAGTAACGATGTCTATGAATAACTACTGGAGACAAACTGACCTTAAACTATTTGAGCGACCTAGAAGCAATGCACAGCCGAAAATGTTTCATTTTTATAAACAACATCCACTATATACTTAACAACACTATGTACCAACACAAACATAACATAAAGCCTTGTTAACAGAATACTGATAGGTTCCACCATTTATGTGAATAACCGAGCAACAACGTTCGCCTCTTGGATACTGAGCGTTAAAGTTAAAAATTTCCCAACTGAAATTTTCAATAACTTTAACCGGGGTGAAACTATACATCTATTTAAAAGTGGGAGCAATCATTCTCATTTCATACTTTCTACACTGAAAATAGCATCACTACACATGAGTGTAACGAAAGTCAACTTCAGAAGTCACTTGCATGACAGTATTCATAAATTGATTACCCATTGTACTGTACGATGAAATAACGCTTTAATTCTAATGAATAGGAAAGCTCGTCGGTACAAAAAGAGTTGCAAGCGCATACAACCAAATACAACAGCGTTTTAGAGAGTGGATATTCTGGGATTAGAACTAGAAATTAGCACAGAATAATAGAAGATTGGATTCAGGAAAGTGCGTCATGCCATTGCAGGTCATCTTCTGGCAAAGTATAAGGATACTCTGGCGTGTTTAACACTTGAGGTAAATGAAGAATCTGGATACCCTGGCGTAACTCTTATGATAAGCGATAGGAACAATGTGATTCTTGATACAAGCGATATACAGAAGATTCTCGATTTACAGCGTTATTCTAGATTTAAAGACGTATACTACAGCGCATTGAAAGTCTTGCGGCAATGACATCGCATATGTAGGTAAGGTAAACTCACAATTGAAGCCATGAATAAGCAATACATCAAACAGTTAAAACAGCGTTTGGTAATTTTAGAAGAATTACTCGAGAATTAAGTACCTAATATTCCCTAACTAACTATGAATGGCTCGAGATTCCTTGATTCCAATGACAGGTAATAAATACTACTCAATACAACACAGGATTGGTAGGTAGTTCTGTTCAATAACGTTTGATGATTATAAATGATACTGAACATAAACTTGCACGCGCTCTTTCATTATATAAGAAACAAACGTACGATCGCGACGACGTCAACGAGAAGAAGCGAGTGTGATGCACACTACCTGCAGAATTCCAACCTTTCGATTGAGCGAGACGCTACATTCCTAGATTAACCAACACGTGACGATTCGATATAACAATGTAAGTTGACAAGTCACAAGAAGTGCGATAAAAGTAATGCTTATTATATGATTGGTACCGTACGTCATGCATATGGCTTCAAGACGGTAGGAGCTAACAGGATCCTGCATCAGGTGTGACAGCTTTAATAATCGTTTGGATTTTCACGAAGTTTGAGCACAAGAAAACCATTCACTGAAGTTGCACAGGTTTTACAATATATATTTTTTCAATGCTTGAAAAAGAATGTCATCGTCCTAAACTCTAAACCCGGGACTAAATCACAGCAATAAACAACAAATTCGACCTCAATTTTTATACGAAGTACGGACTACATGATCTACTTCAAGGCTTTTGGAAAAACCAAACTAGAATAAAAACCTTAGATGCTACAGCTTCAAGGCTTATGACGATTACCAAAATAAAAAACTTAGATATAATTTTACATGACGTAATTAGACATGAAGCAAGTTCATAGTGGTAAAGGAGAACATTTTTTTTTTTTTTGCCCTTCCTAAAGTTCATTTTTGAGTCCCTCAGTCGGTCAGTCCTATAAGTTTAAGTACACATACACTATTGAGTATCTAGGATACATGCATCATCAGACATAAGAACTTGATAAAATATTAAGTAGATGAGAAGTTAAAAATGAAATGATTCTAAAAAATCTCTGTTTTGGGTTAGCCACTATGAGCAAGTTGACATAACGCAGTACCTGGATTGCCTAAAGGGACAGCAACAGAAGCGCTCTGGTCGCCCTCCACACACACGAGCTGACGTTCAGGAAAACCGTTCAATGCAATCTTAACTAAAGCCTGTGAGTGTTACTTGTCCTGAATAGAGAATTGAGGAATTGAAACATTGTGAAGTATATAAGTTGTTCTGAAAATCTTGTGATGCCACCATATATATAATAACATGTATTTAAAGTAATGAGCAGGCTAAGCACTTGCCACACGAGAGTAGCCAGCGTGACTTGCCGGATGAATGAATTGATTTTGAAATTTCTCAATTGCAAATAGCGAGGGAAAGAGAAATCACAGGAAATGTACATGTTGGTCATCCTAACTAGTGCGACTAAAATTATCCACGAAATACACGCGATTATGTATTTCGTAACAAATTATTACAGGACATACCTTTATTTTTCATCACAGCTGAGGGCACGACGAAGTCGCATCAACACATGTGTGTTATATCATTAGGTTCCTTAAATCGCAATGTTCACCAAAGAACTTGAAGACAAAGACAAGCAAGCTCACCATATCTTCAATGAATAAGTGCTGGTCTCCGAAACGTTTTTGAGCTGGTCTCCGAAACGAGCTCAATGAGCTGGTCTCCGAAACGTTTTTATTGAAGATATGGCGAACTTGCTTGGCTTTATATTTGCTTTTAAATTGTCAAGAAACCTGGCATAACAAACCGTGTCTATGGGAGCGACCGGCGCAGGAAGCGCGCTAGTAAGGGCGGCCGTCCTTAGGCCGCTTCAACTGAACTTTCAACCTCTTGTTGCCGACCTGCTGGCCGTTCATGCTCGTGATGGCGTTCTGGGCCTCTGCTGCTGTTTCATACGAAACAAACCCTGCACAAATAACAGTGTTGGTGTATAACTGATGAATAAAAATTATGTCCACTTACAACTCCGAGTATCACAAATAATACATATCATTTCCAGTGTTGATAGTACTATCTATTCATACTTTCTGGAACTCCCAGCAAGTTATCAAAGCATACTTTCAAAGAGTCTTTTTTCAAAGACTTTAGCTTATCAATAAAGACGTACCAAAACACTTGGAGAGCTTGGTCTGCTTATCAATGAAGACTCACCGAAACACTTGGACAGGTTGGTGCCCTTATCAATGAAGACTCACCAACACACTTGGACAGGTTAGTCTGCTTATCAATGAAGACTCACCGAAACACTTGGAAAGGTTGGTCCGCTTATCAATGAAGACTCACCGAAACACTTGGACAGGTTAGTCTGCTTATCAATGAAGACTCACCGAAACACTTGGAGAGGTTGGTCCGCTTATCAATGAAGACTCACCGAAACACTTGGAGAGGTTGGTCCGCTACACTGGGCAAGATCGGAGTCGCCGAAGTCTTGAGGCAAGTGATAGATGAACAAGTTTGCTCCCGGGGGGCCTTCCACTTGCTTACCTGCAAATTACACTTCTTATAATATTCTGATATTCTACTTGCTTATCCAGGAATACATTGTCACTATAACGTAGTAAAATTTTTTGTGCTTACTTACGTGGGAATAATCCATTATTATAACAGCTATATTATGGTTGATCACCTAGAAATAACTCGTTGCTAATATAACATTGTTACATTCTACTTGTTCACCTCGAAATAATACATTTTAATAAGGTCTAGCGTCATCTGTACAATAGAATGAGCTGACTGTCGATGGAAGCCGTTCGATGTCCGCATAAAAAATACATTCAGTCGAAATATTCTTCCACTACAAATTTTCAATTCAACTTTATACATAATAAATGTATGATGAGGGACGAGGCGTCAGTTCCTTAAGGAACAAACAGCATCGACGCCAATCAACGTATCACAGAATAAAAAGCTGTAAATATCAACACATAAGGAACATAGGTATAATTGTTGTAAGGAGGAACGAGGCGACAGTTCTGACCAGCAGGGTTGGAAGGGTTGGGGTTGAGGGCACACGCAATAATGTTCGCGGGCAGGAGGCACTGAATGCCACTGATAGGCGGCCACGAGAAATTTTACCCCAATCAGTTCTATAGTTACCCCATCTTCCAAAATTTCATCCGTTTAAAATCTGACAGTAAAAATTTTTGAAAAAGGCAAATATTGTTCAAATTTAGAAATTGCTAAACTAATTCTATGATATTCTAACAATCAACTCGACGAAACTTGATTCTTTGGTAATAGAGTGTGCCAGCCTGACATCCATACATTCAAACAATTCAAATTTTGCTTCAGCAAATAATCAAGTTCAACGTATGACCTCAAATGGGAAAACATGTTTTATCTGAGAAATATTGCAATCTAATTCATTTTATTCTATGAACGAGGTTTGTTACACGTATTGAATTCGAAGTACTTTGTGACCTTGGAATTGTAGAGAGCATCTTACGTTCATAGAAATACATAGAATGACCTTATCTTTCAAAGGAAATGCCCAGACTCCAAAATACAATTATAGTTTATTCTTTAGCTATATTCCACTAAATATGAAATACGCACAAACTATAAGTAAAGGAAATTATGGATTGGCTTCAACCAAACATGTGATAAGGGCCCAGGGGCAGGGTGTACTGGGTAGGGTGGCCCAGTGGTACTGGGCAGGGTGGCCCAGTGGTTAAAGTTCAGAGTATCAAGATTGGCGCAGAGAGGCGCGGGTTCGATCCCAGCTACCTGTGCGCCAGTTTCTGGTCAGAATCGGCGAGGAGGCCGGGCGGTTAAATACAGCAGGATGGGAGCAGGGAGTTGCGAGTTCGAGACCGCATCAAGCTGTGAACGTTCTGCGATGTTAAGAATCGGCGACAGGCCTATGGCCTAATAAACGCTGAAACCGCTATTATATTATAAGTGCTGCAGTGACGAACGCCTCGGTCTTGTATAAATAGTTTAGTTCAGACGACATTTAGAGCCCCGTTCCCAATGGAGAATAGAAAATTCCCTAACCATCAACTATAATAGTGCTCTGAATATGCAGGCGGCGAAGTAATTAAGATCAACAAGATTGAAGCAGAGAATCGAGGGCTCGAACCCTTCAAAGAGTGGTAAAAATTTGATCGAAATCAGCAAGGTGATTACAAATCCGCTGTAGGTAAACATGGTCTAATCAAAGGTGACATCAATAAATGACATACAAAATAATAATTCAAGTCAAACTATAACTAAGTCCCCTAATAAATGATCACCTTTACTAGTGCCGGTCATCTTGTCACGAAGCACATAATAAATCTTCATTTCCATGACGAATAGAGATACATTCTTCAGTAGTATGAATAATAATCATTTATTAGCATTCATCATAGGTCACAATCAAGACACTAACTTGCTTATAAGGTTTAATAAGAAAGTCAGAAGCACACGGCATTACAAGTTGAACAACTTGCACATCAAAACACTACCACGAAGGCATCAGCATGTATAAGTTCTATTGGGCGAGCTTAATAAACATGGGTAATGGAAGCTTAAGATATGAACAATCCTCATTAAATTATAATCAACAAATTTTGAGTCATGAATTTTTGGGAAATTTAGGCTATAAAATCTCACTTCAAACCAATGCGAGCTGAAAAAAATCTGCTAAGTGTTATAACATGGAAGGTTTTGTGAAAACTTTACTTAAAAACAATATTTTTTTAACTGGTAAAGAGATGTTTTATCAAAGACAAATTTAAGAACCTACTGCATCAAAGCGGAAGTTAATGCCACTCAGATAAATTAATGGGTCAAATTTTCCAAACAATAACACACACTCTGTACGTAGCACTGATACGCCGGGCCAAACTAGGAAATGAAAACCCATGCAAAGGCAAAAAGTGCATCTTAATTGTGACAAAGTCTTACTTATTTGTGTGAGTGCACTGACCGGGCTGTGTGAGGGCCTGCAGTCCTGTGTGGTTGCCAGCAGCCAAAGCTGCAAGCGCTGCTAAGTTCGTCACATTCGTCAAGTTGGTCAAACCTGGCGAATAATATCATTTTAGGATCACAACAATTGTGATAACATCACTTGGTTAAACCTGGCGAATAATATCATTTTAGGATCACAACAATTGTGATAACATCACTTGGTTGAACCTGGTGAATAATATCATTTTAGGATCACAACAAATTGTGATAACATCACTTGGTTAAACCTGGCGAATAATATCATTTTAGGATCACAACAATTGTGATAACATCACTTGGTTAAACCTGCGAATAATATCATTTTAGGATCACAACAAATCGTGATAATAACATCACTTGGCTAAACCTGAGAATAATATCATTTTAGGATCACAACAAATGTGATAATAACATCACTTGGCTAAACCTGAGAATAATATCATTTTAGGATCATAACAAATCGTGATAATAACATCACTTGGTTAAACCTGCGAATAATATCATTTTAGGATCACAACAAATCGTGATAATAACATCACTTGGCTAAACCTGAGAATAATATCATTTTAGGATCACAACAAATGTGATAATAACATCNGAGGTTGCAGAGACACACAAGTGTGAGGTTGCAGAGACACTCAAGTGTGAGGTTGCAGAGACACACAAGTGTGAGGTTGCAGAGACACTCAAGTGTGAGGTTGCAGAGACACTCACCAGAGTGCTGGGAGGTAAGGCTGGCTAGCAGAGACTGCAGAGATGAAGTGTCCTGACCAGATCCAGCCGAGCCTCCCCCGCCACCGCCGCCGTTGCCACCACCAAGCAAGCCACCGCCACCTACACACCCAACAACACCATGCCACACTAAGCCACATACCGTACACTACATAACGTCACCAGCCCACATACACTACATAACATCACCAACCCACATACACTACATAACGTCACCAACCCACACACACTACACAACGCTCTAACCCACGATGTCGATCTTAGTGTTCATTTAATTTAATAAATACAGACAAACGGGGGACTTTTTAGTTGCTCTTCTCTTTCGAGTCCTATAAATGGACCAGAAAAGTACAACGGCTGCATGCATTATCGTACATAAATTATCGTACATTATCATTAAGGAGAAAACACCATTTAAATTAATGGGTCATATTCTCCATCATTGTGCTTCAATACCATAGCATATTGTAGAAAATATTGCAGAGATCAAAGCCAGTAGAATCAAAACTCGCGCGTCGCCGATTTCTCGTCTGTGATTATTGTGTTTAATTTAAACAAGCCATTAATGATTGGCTTGCGGATTTATGAGCTCTGACTCCTTTTTTACTGACGGACCCTATGAAATAAATTAAAAATGAACTGGCAACTAAAAAGTTCCTGGTTTGCCACCAGACATATAACATTTTTCAGTCACATGCAAATATGGTCAAGTTGCTACAACTAAAATATCTTTCACTCACGATGACAGAATTAATGCAATCAACTCCCACAATTCAGGATTGAAATAGATAAAGTTCATAAACACAAATAGAAAAAAAAAACTAGTAAGAGAAGTAAATAAAATGCAAGACACCCACATTAGTTGGACTATAAGCCTATCTGAAGGCTTGGCATCAAAACGTATCTCAAGAGGTTATCATTGATCTGTTTCACCAGCAAAAAAAAACTCCATGTTTGACTTTCACGTATCATAGAAGGCTCAAAACTGATCTTTAATCTTATGAGAAACATCTTGCTTTATAGATCATATGATGTTAATCTTGAATACAGGATTTGACCAACATTTCTATTTGCCATTCTACAACTTTCGACATCCACATACACAGACGAGAGAAATTGTCACCCAACTATATTACAATATTGAAATTAGAAATTGTAATCCAACATAACATGGAAATATTACAGAAATTTTCCCAACATGACATCACAATCTTTCATCTTACTTCAATGCCATAACTTACATCCAACACCATAATATACTGGCCTGAATAACCACCCACATATATTAGTAATGGTAGTAACCAGTAACCGTACCATCAAATCTACATGTAACACTCTATATAAGCATAGCGGCTTAAGATCATGTATGGGCTAGTTTGTTGCGTCATCTGCAGGTTTGGCTTATACGTAAATCCAGCAGTGCTTGTCTGATGGAGTAATAAACACAAAACTACTTAGCGCATTTTATCATTTATGAAATAAATGCACTATTGTGCTCGCCATGTCCGTCTGTCTGTCCGTCCGTGACTTCATGTTTTCGTCGACGACAAAATGTGCTCTCTGTCACTCACTGCAGTGAGTACTGAGTTATATTTTTTGATAGTACGGCCGTATTTACTCGCCATTACATACAAAAATACTGGTATCATAAACTTGATGTTGTCCTACCATAGAGTTCTGTGATATTTTTGATAGTACGGCCGTATTTACTCGCCATAAAGCTTGTGAGAAATAAATTCCTGACAAACCTCTTAGGCTAACTTGTGAACTCACTGATAGGTAATGGGGTCCTAAAGCAGCCAGAGTGTTGGTTGAGGCTGCATTCCAGAAATTGTGCGAGTGTTGTTGCATCTTTTTCTGGTCTTTCTCCTTGGGAGTGTCAGCAAACTTTACAACCAGCGGAAGGTTGCAGCCCTGTCAGTAAAATAAACTGATGGGAGAACAAACATATTACGCAATACCTAATTGTTATTGCTGGCAAACTTTACAACCAGCGGAAGGTTGCGGCCCTGTCAGTAAAATAAACGAATGGGAGAACAAACATATTATGCTATACCTAATTCTTATAGCTGGCAAACTGTACAACCAGTGGAAGGTTGCGGCCCTGTCAATAAAATAAACGAATGGGAGAACAAACATATTACGCAACACCTAATTCTTATTTCTGACAAACTTTACGACCAGCGGAAGGTTGCGGCCCTGTCAGTAAAATAAACTAATGGGAGAACAAACATATCATGCAATGCCTAATTGTTATTTCTGGCAAAATTTACAACCAGCGGAATGTTGGGGCTGTCAGTAAAATGAACTAATGGGAAAAAAACATACATCTAATTATTATTACCAGCAAACTTTACAACCAGTAGAAGGTTGCAGCACTGTGTTCAGAATAAAGTAAGCCATTGGGAGAACACATACTTTAGGCTTAATTAATGTACTTGCTAGATGATCCTAATGAATAATCAAGTTTCATTTGAGATTAGAAAAGCTTTTTGTTGAAGCCAGACATAAAGAAGTGGCACCAAGGAGATGTATTAAGGTGACACAAGATATTGACTTTTTTGTTAAAGGATTAAGTGCAGTGACAAAAACTTAGCCTCTTAGGCATTTACTACTGATAAAATAAATATGGAGCAGTGAAAGAAAAAGGATAAAAGATGTACAGGATAAACAGAATGATAGAGTTATGTACATACCACTATTAAATTATTGATAATCAAATTATCAAACAGTGCTACTATATGAGCATATCTATAACTATAGCAACATTGTGAGTATGAAGAAAATATAAAAAGCAGTGAAGCTGCATGCAGACCTCCATGGTGGTAGAATGATGGAGCTTCTTAATAGCGTTGATGGCACTGGATCTTGTACTGAATGTGACAAAGGCACAGCCTTTGCTCTGACCGTTGCTGTCTCGTAACACTGAGCAGTCCTCGATGGTGCCAAACTGAGAGAACATCAAGCGCACTTCCTGCTCTGTGTAGCGCTTGGACAGCATCCCCAAAAACAGCTTGCGATCTGTAGAGTGAAGGATACATCATACAACTTCCAGAAAAATTTTTTACATAAGTCACACATGTATAGTATAAGTCTGATGAATGAGTAGGATTTAAAAACTGTAGAGTGAAGGATATATCATACAATTTCCTAAAAATGCATACATCAGTCACACATCAGTCTAATAAATGAGTAGGATTAAAAAGAAGCTTCACAAAAATGTAAGTGGGTAGCTTATTTTTGCAAATAACAATACTAAATTGTTCAGTCATGACTCACCCAATCTGTTTTCAGTATCAGCAGGCTTCATTTGAATTGGATGATGCATCTGAAAAAAGAAAGTTACAATTCTGAAAAGTTTTCCAACCAACTAAAATTATGATGAGTGGGTTATGATAGTGGGATTAAAAAAATACATCATTTATAGGGTTAACAGGAAGCAAATATCACAAGCCAACCATTCATGCCATAGATTGATAACTGATAATAAGAAGTATTTAGATACTTATTGCAAATAATTAGTTGATACTTGTTGAAGAAAATATCAGTAAAAGTTTGAATTCATAGAATTGTAGCTGGAAAGTGTTTCAAATACTTAGTACTTGGCCAACAAGATACAAATATTCTTTTAACAAATCAAGATTTGAGTTTGTATGTAGATAAGATCAAAAGTGATGATTGAGATTTAGGTACTCTATTATGGTACTCTATATTTAGGTACTCAATTATGGAAAAATCAGCTTAACTTGTGCAAAATTGAGTGATGTTCATAAAAATATCTAAGACAAGTAGGGGGCATGTAGTGCAGGGTTCAACCACAAAATTGTGGCTGGAAAGTGGTATTTGTCACTTAACAGAGCACATGGGAGTCAGAATTTGAACACTCTATTAGTTTAGTTTAGTTCTCTCCGCGCCATAAGGCGCACAAGGCTTGGACGTCACTCCTCCACTGGGTCCGGTTTGCAGCTGCCTGCTGTGCTATGTTCCACGAGTTCCAGCCTGCTTGGTTTCTCTCCTCTTCCACCATTCGCCTCCAAGTTGTTTTTGGGCGTCCTCTCTTCCTCCTTCCTTCAGGTGCCCAAGTGAAAATGTTTCTTTTTATCCATGTTTTCAATGAAAGAAATTATGCATGGGCCATATGAAAGGATGAAATTGAACACAAGCATAAGCATAGGCGTTTTAATCTCATTCATGCCTGGCTTTTGTCCAAATTCTCAGAAAGTCTCTCCAGTCTCAGCTGTAACTACAGCTCTCCCACCATTTTTGAAGTGACAAGATTCCTGCCATATGAATTGTCTCCTATGTAATTGTTAACAAAAGTGCACAATGAGGTCAATCTTTAATATTAAAAATGATAGGTGACATGTGCCATCTTCCATCTTTTCAAGTTCTTTCTGAAAGAAATTTGGCAAGGGCCCTAAAAATTGGCATAATGAAATTGACTGAAAACAGGGGCATTTCTGAGTCATTTATAGGTGGCTTCTGCCAAATTTTACCAAATTGGATTGGGCCACAAGATTCCAAGATTTTAACAATGGGTGACTTTGAAGCTGCAGTATTTTAGCAACATGTGGGAACCTTATATTGGAACAGAGCAAATAGTTCTGGGATCAAAAGAAGAAGATTGGGCAGCAGCCACTCATGAATTGGACATAAATGCCCATGAATAGGTCAAATTTAAACTATTCCTATGGCCCTTCCCAATTGTTTTTTTTTTATAAAAGTACAAACAATAGCCAGTTTCTACCTAATATTTTTTGAAAATTGCTGATAAAATGATCAGTTTACCAGTGATTTTTGGAAACTTGCAGAAAATTTTACAAATTGGACTGTGATCATAACAGGCAAGATTTACATTTATGATTGATGAATAAAATTAAAAATAGTTATGAATGAAACTGAAATATTCATTTATATGATCTACCAGACTGCAAGATTATTCTGCTAGATCAAGACTGCTAGAATAAATTAATCAAGGTGGAATTCTGGGAACATGGGATGATGGGACGTGGGTTCACATATTCAAGATCAATTCAGCCGTTTCAGCCTAGTTGCATAATAATCAGTTCCAAATATTAGTATAAAGTAAAATTGAATAGAACATTTTTAAATGAAAAGATCCAATATGATAGGTGCACATGTTTATATATTACCCCTACCAAAATCCACCCTTGTTTATTTAACAGCATTTCTAGCTAATTTCATGAACAAAGTTTTAAATAAACCAAAAATGCATGACTCAAAAATGAAGAAACCTACATAGCCTATTTATTAAAAAGTTCAACTTTTACAAAATTTGTGCTAAAAGCTTGGCAATTCAGTTGGTAGTGACTTGGTACAGCTGTACAAACAATGTTTAGGCTATTATGGCTTCAAAAATCAGGTCATAGGCTCATCTCAATGATCTCATAGGCCTAGCCTAAATAAATAACTAAAATTTTTAAAGTTAAATTTTGACCAGCAGGCCCACTCCAGCAGACCAGCACTACCTACCTAGATTGAAACAGTCATAGGTACTTACATAACTATATATAAAAATTTTCTGACTGCAAAGCTGCATTTTTCACATAAAGTTGGATTTATGATGCTAAAATATTGCTCAGTTTGAGAAGCTATCAATTTTGATTTCATTTATCAATAGTGGCATCCAGTAACTTAAACTTTTAACAGTAACTTGACTTGATAACTTTTCTGAATCAAGTTTAAAATTCAAATTTAGTCACTTTCTTTGAGAACAATAAGATTCTACAAATAGCACTAAAACATTGAGATTATAAAGACAAACAAGATATTCTAATAAAAGTGTGGGGACACATGAAGAAATGCAATAAAAAACGTCATTTGTCGATTCATTCAATCGAAATAGTTAGGTACTCACTCCAGGAAGAGTTTTGATATTGTGGAGAAGATTTTGGGCCTCCAGGGCAGACTTGCGGGTGTAAAACGTCACAAAACAGCAACCTGAGGATTACCAAAACATATTATGGCAACTAATTCAAGTTTAACTCTGTTCATTTACGATAATTCATATCGAACATAAAGATAAGTAGACCAAGGGAAACGGAACTCACTTGCATCACGCAATAATGTTCGCGGGCAGGAGGCACTGAATGCCACTGATAGGCGGCCACGAGAAATTTTACCCCAATCACTTCTATAGTTACCCCATCTTTCACAATTTCACCAGTTTAAAATCAGAAGGTTAAAATTTTCGAGGAAAGGTAAATATTGGCCAAATTAAGAAATTGCTACACGAATTCTATCATATTCTAACAATAAATTCAACGAAATTTGATTCTTTGGTAATACAGTATGCCAGACTGACATCCAAACATACATTCAGAACAATTGAAATTTTGCTTCCTCAAATTTACCAAGTTGAACGTGTAACCTCAAATGGACAAGCGTGCTTTATCTAGAAAATATACCAGTCTGATTCAATTTATTCTACGAACGAGGTTTGTATCACTTATTGAATACGAAGTACTTCGTGACCTTGGAATTGTATAAAGCCTATTACGTTCTTTTAGATCCGTCGAATGACATTATATTTTGAAGGAAAGGTCCAGGCTCCGAAATACAATTATAGCTTATTCTTTAGATACTTTTCACGAAAGATGAAATGCGCACAACGATAAGTAAAGGAAGATATGGATTGTCTTCAACCAAACATGTGATAAATGCTGGCAGTGACGAACGCCTCTGATTTGCATAAATAGTTCGGTTCAGACGACATTTAGAGCCCCGTTCCCAAAGGAGAATTGGAAAATTACCTAACCATCTACTATAATAGTGCTCTGAATATGCAGGTGGCGAAGTGATTAAGATCAACAAGATTAGAACAGAGAATCGAGGGCTCGAACCCGCAGGGAGATCAGCCGCCATACTCATTTTTTACCCTTTCTTTTTCTCTCTCCTTCTTCTTGCCACACATTTCCTACTACACACAGCAATCCCCCAATTGTGGCCTTTTCATATGGTACCCAATTCCCCTAATAAATGATCACCTTTACTAGTGCCGGTCATCTTGTCACGAAGCACGTTGATTTGATACACGTCACCGAACTCTTCGAACATTTTCCTAGCTAGAATGTTCTTCACTCTACACTCTACAGACAAACAATCAATGTATGAAAGTTAACAAATGTCTTGAGTTTCAAAAAATGTAAGAATCTGTAACACAATGACTTAGTTTGTTTTGGCCCTGGCATATAGAAACACAACAGGCATTTTTTCTCATGGTCATCCGAGCAGTTTTGTCGACATGACGCAAAAAATGCATGCATAAAAACTTGTTTTTCAGTTGCTGCAGCGAGTTAGAAAATTTACTGCACAGAATGAATAAAAGAATACTCTCGAAAAGCATAAGAAGATGAATATAAATCCGCTTCTTTATTGGATGTTGAAATTAAGAACAAACTAGTAATTGAATATATTACAACAATCATGACGCGTTTTAGTTAGAATTCGATAATTTATGATCATTCGATAATTTATGACACATGCGTAGCAGATAAAGAAATTCAAGACAAACGTATTGAAGATGCATAAATTCATAACACAATCATAGATGAAAAAGAAATTCACGGCACATGTGTATAGGAGATCTAGAAGTTCATAGCACACGCTCAGTGTAAAAATTCACAACAGTTAAAAAATAATTCATGTTACATGTATGAAAGCCTATGAAATTCACGACATATATGCAGAAGATAAAGAAAATTTCACTGTAGGTTCTAACCATAATAAAACCAAGACCCGAAAAGATACGTCATTCACGGACGAAAATTCCCTAAAACTCAACTGCAAACCAATTGATTATAGGTAAAAAATTTCTTGTCTAAGAGTTTTATCGTTGCTTCCTCTGGTATAATTTCATCATTATTTCCGGTCTATGATGGAGCACCGCTATAAAGTCTGTCCATTAAGTCACCTAATCTTTGAATAATGTTGAATAAACTTTTTTCCATGAAATAAGCTCGTAATCAACGTTGTTTTAGCGCCATTTACGCATTTTGTATAGATTGTTTGAGAGCGACAATGAACTGCTATATTTAATCTGTTTTTATTATAAAAAAATCAGTGAGACTTTGTCTAAAAAGCGATGCCTTTTTAGCAATGAAAGCGAAAAAGCGATGCATTTTCTCATTTATGAAAAAAATACACTATTGTGCTCGCCATGTCCGTCTGTCCGTCTGTCTGTCCGTCCGTGACCACGTTTTCGTCGACGAGAAAATGCGCTCTCTGTCACTCACTGCAGTGAGTACTGAGTTATATTTTTTTTGGCCGTGTTTGGGTCATTCTCACCAAGTAATTGACCTGGCGTATCAATGCTACGTCCGCTCTCTACTCGTGCTTTAGGCAAAAAAAGTACGTCACCATTTGGACAATAAGACAGATTCATTATTCTGTGCCAGCTCCACCTAAGCTACGCTTAGCCCTAGCTTTGTGTTCCTATTTATTCTCCAGACAAAACATGGAAATAATCATGGAAATAAGGCAGCCTAATAAGGTCTACATAATACATGGAGTGTCACGAGGACGTGACAAGCACTTACGATATTTCTAATTGGTCCATGACAGTGGCAGTCCAATGGCGAGATTGGTGAGTATAATTCGATGTGAAGGAGAATAACGATTTATCTACTGGCTCTACAAACTACACAAAAACTAATAGGTTATTACAAGATGAGAAACACTTGGGACATTCACAACATTTGCCAATCCCTAAGCTATGAAAAACAAATTTTTAGACTTGTTAGTTTTAGATTCGCTTGTGGCCTAAATCCCGTAATAAATTATTTAAATCTACATTCGACCTCGAGAGTAGCATTCAATCGTATTAAAAGTCGTAATTTTTTCCTCGAGACTTAGAGAGGCTGGGAAATAATGGAACTTTTAGCAGGCAGTTTGATCGGCCTTGATGATAACAAAAAGTGAGGCCTAAAAGCTGGAAATCTGGTCTAGCTTTGGTAGACCTCCCCCATGGAGAGACCCCACAGCACATAATCTACCGCAAGGCGTATTTTCCTACGATAATGTCCATAGTGTTTACCTCACTCCGCGGCTTCCAGCTATCACATGCGAACTGCGGTCATTTACTCCTAATTTGTTAAGTAACGTAACTATGNGATAATATACATAGTGTTTACCTCACTCCGCGGCTTCCAGCTATCACATGCGAACTGCGGTCATTTACTCCTAATTTGTTAAGTACCGTAACTATAACTTTGCTCTACTTAATTAACGAATTTGGAAGAATTTGTTAAATAACGCAATCATAACTTCGCTCTACTTAACGACTATAGAAGAATTTGTTATGTGACGTAACTTTAACTTTGCTCTACTTGACGACTATAAAATAATTTGTTATGTAACGTAACTTTAACTTTGCTCTACTTAACGACTACGGAAGAATTTGTTAAATAATGTAATCATAACTTCGCTCTACTTAACGACTACGGAAGAAATTGTTATGTAACGTAACTATAACTTGCTCTACTTAACGACTATGGAAGCATTTGTTAAGTAACGTAACTATAACTTTTCACTACTTAACGACTACGGAAGAAATCGTTAAGTAACGTAACTATAACTTTACTCTACTTAACGACTATGGAAGAAATTGTTAAGTAACGTAATCATAACTTCGCTCTACTTAACGACTATGGAAGAATTTGTAACTATAACTTTTCACTACTTAACGACTATGGAAGAATTTATCGCTCAAGTTTAAAATAAAAATTGTGAGTGCTATCATAATCCGATGCAGGATTGTTTTTATTTAAAATTAATTTCATTAATTTCAAGGGGTATAAAAAAACGGATCGAAGGTTCCCCGTGAGAAGTTACACTGAACAATATTCCTTTGGCTCAAGGTTTTCACAGTTCGTGCATATTATAATAAATTTTGTTCAGATATCTACAATTTAAAGTTATTTCAGTTATTGGTCACAGTTACGTGCATATGCCCAGAAGAAAATTGCTAGTAAATTAGCTTTGTGTTCAAACTACATATAATTTACACCCAGCCAAATAATGTGTCAGTATCAGTTACCCTTCACAAATCTACCGTCTTTTCAAAGTTTCCATAGTACACATCCACATGCAAGAAATAAAATAATGCAAATCATGAAATAAAGCAAAACTATTGTTTGATATACAAAAAATCTATATCTATATAGATCAAATTATAAATATTTTGAGTATGAGGCAGAATGTTTGCCAAACGATATGGCGTTCACAGTTCAATATCATGATGAAATGTGCACCAATTTTCTAGTATTATATATAAATACGCATGCTCCTTATTAAGAGACTGATACTTGATACATAGTACATATACGCATTCCCCTTGACACTTGGCAGATGCTTCTTGATACATAGTACATATGCATGCTCTTTAATACTTAGCTGATACTTGATACATAGTAAATACGCATTCCCCTTAGCGCTTGGCAGATACTTCTTGATACATAGTACAATAGTACATACACATGCTCTTTAATACTTAGCTGATACTTGATACATAGTACATACGCATTCCCCTTAACGCTTGGCAGATACTTCTTGATACATAGTACATATGCATGCTCTTTAATACGCAACTGATACATGAAGCTTATTCCGTACGCATGCATCTAAGAACACGTGACTCATACATGATACCTATACTGGTACGAAGGATCATAGTCCGGCACCGCAGGACCGACATAGCAGTTCATAGGTGGCGGGAAATAATAGTATTCCATTTGCATGTCCTAGTCGAGAAAGAAGACAACGAAAAAAACAAGTTCTGCAAAAAATTTCGTTTGATAAAAAGTGTGCGAAAGTCCCAGGCGAAAACATTTCAATGTCGATGAAAAAAAGTGTGTGAAATTAGTTGGGAGTTACAGGTGATAATTTCAATGGAGAGACATCTTGTTTGAACAAGTAAAAATTATTGCTAAATAAAAGCTGACGTTCCATTCAACATTTAGACACAAATAAAAAAATATATATTTTGACTAGTATGAACGTGGTGAAATCAATGAGCCAAGCACATCAATTTCACCACAATAAATATCACAATTATTAAAAACTGGTGGATATTGAAATATTATAGTGTGAATCCAAATTATCTTCAACGTTTTTCTGAAATTTGTGAAAATTGTTTTTGACTTCGAAGTATTCATGTCGCTAGTCTGCTTAAAATCGCTTGTTCGCTAAAATTAAAAAAGAGCAAAATATTAAAAAAAGCATCAGTAATCTAAACATTATCATTGATTATATCGTAAATGTAGCATAGCGTTTTTTTTGTCTTTAAATACTTGGTTGACTTGTAAATAAACACAATACTTTTAATTTGCCTTTAAATGCTTGATTGACTTGTAAGTAAACACAATACTTTTAAATTGCCCTTAAATGCTTGATTGACTTGTAAGTAAACACAATACTTTTAATTTGCTTTTAAATGCTTGATTGACTTGTAAGTAAACACAATACTTTTAAGTTACCCTGGCCACCACGTACGCTGACTCGTACAAGACTGGAGTGCACAAGATCAGGTAAGGAGAGGAAAGTGTTCATCTTATCTCTCTCTTGGATCTCATTTATCCTGAGATACCGCGAAGATAAACGGAATAACGTGTATATTCCGAACTGATAACGTATCGTGTGTCCCAACGACTTGTGTTTTCAAAGTTACCGCTCTATTCTTTGGTATTTTATAGTTTGTTGCAGAAATAGTTCACATTTTTAACGCTGCGGGCATGTGTCAATAAAATATAAGTGCAATTAAACTTCGAATCGAGTTTCTCTTGGAATTTGTGCATGAGCAAGCAACAGAGATAACGTATTTCGCTTGGCTATATAAACATCAGTACCAAGAACGTCAACATTATTACTCTGAATGTTCATTAGAGACGCATCATTAACAATGAATTTGTGAGCATGCCATCGATTTCTCATCCCAACATTTTGCAGAAAGAAATAGTAAATTAATCAAGACGTCGCCTTAGTATGTCATTCTGAAGCTTGGCGAACAATTCAACTTCAACTTTGGGGGTGAAAAATTACATCAAAATACGATGTACTTTGATGTAGATTGATAC